CACACTTAGTCGGTCCGAGCTGTGAGCAGGATGCGGGGCTTGTGGTGGATATAGTAGACGAAGGGTTCTCGTATCGTGATACTGTGATATCAAAGACAAGAGCGTCCTCTACTCCAGACCTTTGATTGCCAGTAGTAGAAGGTGACCAGAGATGGCAGGTTTTCATCGGAACAGCGCTTTACCATGATTCGACCACACTTTTCTAATATCATCAATTCTGTGGGACTTGCCAATACAGGTAAATGCTCTATCCTTGTCCTTGACCAGGCAGAGTGTGGGGTGAAGGGGTGTGAATGATTTCCGGCGATTTGTTTCCGTACCTTATCTTACCCATGTCCGCGGGCGTGGTATTGGCGCTGACTCGGTGCGACTCTGGACATTTGCACTTGCTGGAAGTCTAACTAGAAAAACGAGTCATATTTGGCTTCGAAGAGTTTTCTGGGATCTCCAACACACATTATTGAGCGGCGTGAAAGACTCGAGGCGGCGGCTTTTGAGCATGAGCAGAAAGAGATGTAGAATTGATCAGGGCATGAACGACCTTGACTGATGTTTGCGATCTGGAGATACACGAGTGAGAGCTGAGGTTGCGAAAAGCACGGATCGTCAGAGCACATGCCATCCACGCAAGATCTGCTAGGGCTGGGCGATCGCTCTGGGGGAGATCTTCTTTCCTCTGTTCCAACTTCCCACCACCCTCAACTGTCTGCATCAACCGTTGAGCCACCCGCACAGTGTTTCAACAAGAGTCAATGAATGCACCAAACAGAACATTCGAGTCATTGAAGTCGAAGTCAGAACCTGTATGCTGCACCACCTGCCAATCATCCACGTGCCACAACGCACAACACCTGCCAATCTACGAAGTTTAGATGTATCACTCGCCTTCTCAGTCTGATCCTCCCAGACTCTATGTATACTCCTCGAGCATGAACCATGAACCCATGTGAAGAATTACCCTGAGCTGTGTGTAGGGCTCAGTGGCCAAGCATGATGTCGCAAGTACCAGTACCTCAATTCAGTCTCGCTCTCACGTACGTATGGGCCGAAAGAAAGCGAGTCGTATCGTGTGGTACATAGGCGAGTCAATGCTTAAACTCTTCGAGCACGTCCTACACAGCGATCGTCTTCCCTCATGTTATTTATTGCCCCCCCAGAGACATGGTGGACTACTTCATAACCCTAGAAAGACCCTTTCGTGTGGCTCATTCTATCATCGCTGGCTGACTCTATACATTGCTTACTCGGCACACTTCTTGAAACTGGATATTGCTTGTCATGGCATCTCTCCTTGTTGTCAGAGATATCCTTGAGAAGAGACATCAGGTGTCTAGCGAGACGGATTTGTCGATAATATCAATCACCTGGGGCTTCACACTCGGCTTCGGCTTCTTAACGACATGGACAGCCATCAAGCAGACAAGACACATGTGGAAGAGGCGCAATGGACATCTCAATCATCCATATGTCTACATGGTCTGGGCTGAACTTTTTTCAAGTCTTGGGTTGAGTATCGTGTGTTGGCTTGTCTTACAAGGACCTCTTCCTCTCAAGTAAGCTATCGAAAAATTGGCCGAAAGTATTACGACTGACCAGAATAGCGTTTATACCTTGTTCTCAATCCTTTCGTTCTGGGTTATCCAGGTGCACTGTCTTTTCCAGATCATCATCAACCGTGTCTCGATCTTGATGCTCAACCGAAGGCGAGCAAAGCAACTCAAGATCGGTACCACAGTCGGTATCTTGTGTCTCAACATCAGTGTCTTCTGTATCTGGATTCCTGCGAAACTCCAAGTCAACGAGACGTACGAGAAGCTGAACGTTGTTTGGGACCGAATTGAAAAGGTCATCATCCTCATCGTCGATGCTGGGCTCAACTACTACTTTATCCGCGTGGTCAAGAAGCAACTCATTAAACCTGGTCTCACCAAGTACAAGCCACTCGTCAAGTTCAACAACTACATGATTCTGCTCTCGCTGGCGATGGACTGTTTGATTATTGGCATGCTGTCGTTGAAGAACCCATTGGTGTATCTGATGGTAAGTGAATTTTGTCGATTTCATTTCTCGTAATATTTAGCTAACACAACAACAGNNTTCCATCCTCTGGCATACATCGTCAAGCTCAAGATTGAGCTCTCAATGGCCGAGCTCATCGCCATCGTTGCTCGAGGAAATCAAGATAATGGCCAAATCCGCTTCAACAACCCAGAAAGCTCAAACGGCACAATCAGCGCCAAAGGCTACACCTTCAACACCCAGACCAGCCAGAGCAAACGAGCATCCATACAAAAATCCCCTCCGTCGCCCAACGACGTCGAGCTCGGCCACGTTAGACCACAGACGCCAGAAATGCACAGCCACTTTGGAATCATCGAAGAGGAAGAATCTGTGCGCAACCACGAATCCGAGGATATCGCCGAAGGCTTTGTGGTGCACAGACACAATGAAATTACAGTCGAAGTCGAGAGCGCGCCCTCGGAGCGATCTGAAAAGACTACCGACGGCCAAGGCGAGAACTTTGATTCGAGGAGACATACCTCTGACAGTGATGAGGCGCCTTTGCGTAAACCGACAAACAACATGGGCCTCAACACAAAGGTCTGGGGCCGCTACTAGACTTGTACATATATATTCCTTTTGTTTCTGCGGGCGGACAGGACTGCTTTTCATTTCTTGACGATGATACCCAACTACATTATATAGTATTCCATTTAGGACACAGTCCATACCACTTCCATTCACAGCCATGAGCGTCTCGAGTATAGCCACATCTCGCCTTCTTTCTGCAGCCAGGCCTCAGCGAGTGCTTTAGTCTTTACGCATCACGAAAGCCTCAACTTTCAGAAGCAGTTGTGTTGGACTTCTAGATGCGGAGCAGAGCCTTGAGAAAGGCTGGCGTGGGGATGCGACCGAAGTCCATTTTAAGTATGGAATTGTCGTGTCTGTATGTGTTTCCCTTTCCAGGGTGACATTTGCTTGCTAGCGACCTGCGCGTGGAGCCTCCAGTCTAAACATGTTCAATTGCCCAAGCTCTTGACAACAGCAACGCCCAGAGTCAGAAAAGCGGCCAGATCAACAGTCAGACCTCTCAGCCTGTTGAACCAGAGCCACTCATCCAAAGCAATATTTGCGTCTCTTGCAGGGTGGTTTGTGCGAATAGCCTCCTTGGAGGCGATCATGAAGGGCATGAAGATGAAATGCGCGACTGCGAGTATGGCTCCAGCGCGGTACCAGGATCGTGCCGGGCTACCACGAGAATAGAGGTTTGCGACAGAAGCAACAACAGTCAAGGAGACGGAAGTCAGGCGACGGTAGAAGCCAGCGTGAGAGACGACGGGGAAGTAGGTGGAGAGAGCAGCGTTGCTTTTCGAGCGCGTTTCGGGCTGGTTCAGCGCCGACAGGAAGAGGTTGCTGTCAAAGGCATGGTCGAGGGTCAAGGTAGCTGCGATCAGAGGTGTGATTCTGAGAAGTTGTACTGGGTCGACGAATTGACGGCTAGCCATGTTTGCGAAGGTTGGAAGGAGGATATGTTAGATGGCACAGAAGGACTGGAACAGCAGTGGGAAAAGGTGAGAGGGCTATGAAACAACCTGCCTTGCGATGGTGATCGATTCCTATTTATTCGGGACCCACGGGCGAAACAAGGATTGGCAGTGTGACGACGATGTCCGCGAGGTCGGACGCGACAAAGCCGACAAACGCTGCCGGCCCTTGAAACCGCTGTTGTCCTTCTCCTGAACGACAAGTGATCGTCGTTCTCTGACATGTTGAGGCTCAACATGCGCAGCTGTCCTGACATGTCGATTGTTTGATGCTCGGTGGGAAAGGGTCAAACAGTCGTAGGACTCTTCGCGAGCGTAGAGTTCTCGCGTCACGATCGCTCATCTCCGCCGCTGTCACGATATCCATCAAGACAACAGACAAACGGGAGCAAGAGCGCTTCCGAGCAGCCGCATGATTCGCGAAAGACGACGAGGTTGTATAAACACAGAAGGTGAGGTGGTGGAGGTGTGAGGTCGAACACGAGGCTCGTCGCGTGCGGGAATCATGTGCCGAAACGCTCCTTCCTTCTGTCTAGACTTCCTGCCCTCATTTATTTTCCCAAATCATCGACCTGTTTCTTAGGGCACGAACAGGACTGACCGGGAGCCAATGTGGAGAATACGCATCGTAAAATTGTTTTCCTGCTCCCTACACAGGTTAGATACGCCCTACCTAGAAGGTAACACAGTCTTGTCCAGAGTGGTCAGGATGGGATTGTTTCTCTGTTACCAGCCGTGTCTCCTTGACCATAGCATACGTGACGAATACGCTCCGAGTTCAACGTTTAAGATACGCATCTTCCGTACGCCCGCCTAATGGAAGCAGTAGCACTCGTGAGCCGTGACAGGCAAAGACGAGTTCACAAAAAGTCTCGAAATGGTTGTCTTCAGTGTAAAATCAGACATGTCAAGGTGCAGTCTCCCATCCACAATGACTTTGGCTTTCTAACAATTTCGTTCAGTNGCGACGAACAGCAGCCGATTTGTGGCCTCTGTAAGAGAGTTCGGAAGAAGTGCAGTTTCGCATTCCAGGAGTCTGAAGAGTCTGCCGCGATACCTCGAGACGACTTCATCTTACCCAGCAATGCTTCTCCTACGTTCGGCCAATCGTGTTTGAGCTTCAGATTCAGACACAATGCAGAACCATCACCTACAGTTCCGATCGACTGTATGCCTCAGTCGGGCATGACACTTCCAACATCTTTGAGCCCTCCCCATCTTCAACCATTACCTCTTGTCGACCTGGAACTGCTGTATCATCAAATGCAATGCAATCAAGCCACCGGACGAGACAGTGACGACATCCAACTCGGATTTACTTTTCCATACGTGCTACACAGCATTCTAAGCTTGTCAGCACTGCTCCTATTCTCCGAACAACCTGCAAGAACAGGGCTTTTAGATCGAGCCTGTGCACACCAGAACTCTGCGCTTACTCTGGTTCGTCCACATCTGATGAATCTAAACAAGCAGAACGTCAACGCAGTAGTCAAGTTTTCTGCCATCACATCGGTCATTGCCCTGGCTCAGCCGCTGTACCAACACCCCTATCGAGCCAGCAAGAGCTCTGATCCCATCAGCGACATACTGAATTCCTTCCACATGACAAGAGGCATAAGAATAGTCCTGGAACGTCAATGGCAGATGGAAGGCATTCACCGTGACCCAGACGCAGGACCCAATCTGGACGACCAAGACCCCTGGCAGCAGGATCTGATGCCCAAATACCCACCTTACCCAATCCTACGCGAGTTGATCTCGTCTCATTGCACGTCCGACACCGACAAATTAGTTTGTCTCGATGCAACAAGAAAGATCTTCTCATTCATCAGTCTTTTGGAGGACCATCCAAACTTACACCCCGATGCCCGATTGATACAAATCTGGCCCATCGAGATCAAGAAGCACTTTCTCAACATGCTGATCGCACGGGAACCCATCGCTCTGTTGATCCTTGGCTACTATACAGTCCTCATGAGATTGAGATCGGATACCATGTGGCCTTTTGATGCTTGGCCACGAAAGCTTCTATGCAGGATCGAAGAGGGCTTGCGAGATGATTGGAGCGAGTATCTGGAGTGGCCAAGGAGTAGGGTGCTTTCATAGGTTATATCGAGAGGCATTTTCCATGTCCAATGTATCAGATGATGATAGCCAAAAGTGGGAAAACAATTATGCATATCTACATTGTTGTATGATGCCTCTTATCGACGTTGGAGACAAGTCGAGAGCGAGCATCGTGAATTGTGATTTGGATCAGCTTTTTGAGCGTCCGGTGTGGTCACAGCGGGTCTTTCATCTTCGTCCTTGCACTGTGAATGAGTCAGTCAAAATCTCGATAAGGGCTGGAGGAATGAAAAAGATCTACGCTCGAGTTGTCCGGAGGAGGCTTGGACGGACAGAACGAAGGCTGAGGAGACGAAACCACGGACGTCACAGACTGTGAAGTCACAGCCATGGCGATTGAGGGTGGTAGATGGTAAAGAGAAGGGGACTAGGCGTGTGCGCCATTAGCTATGCAGCGAGCAGAGATGACGCAGCGATGGGAAGTGATGCCGCGAAGTAGTGCCAATGCTGCGAGTAGAGTTGAGTCTATAAGCAAGCAGAGATGATGCATTGAGTTGAAGTGACAGCGTGGGCAGGAGCGACGCTGTGAATAGAAACGTTCGATGAACATCGCAGGTGGGGTATCAGTAGTTTGCAGACATCGATAATTAATGCAACGGACTCTAGACAAACTCTTCTACACAAAAGGCGCATCTCATATGCTCTATATCTAAGCGCTTCCATTACCGTTGACAACACCATTGGTCTCTCCTGAAACCTTCTTTAAGGCTGCCATGACGTCCTTGACCAAGTCCTCTCCTTCCTCAACACCACAGCTGATTCTGACCAAATCGTCGAATACACCGGCGGCTTCTCTCTGCTCCTTGGGAATACCCATATGTGTCATGCTAGCAGGCAACTCGACCAAACTCTCAACACCACCCAGACTCTCGGCCAGAGTGAAAATCTTGGTTGCTGCACAGAAGCGCTCGGCAGCGGACTTACCGCCTTGGATGCGGAAAGAAAGCATACCACCGCCGAGACCGTCTCTGTGCTGCTTGAGAGCAATCTTGCGCTGAGGGTGGGAGTCGAGACCAGGGTAGTTGACGGCACGAACAAGAGGAGATGCGGCCAATGCCTCTGCAACCATCTTGCCATTACGGCTGGCCTCGCGAGCACGGAGATGAAGGGTCTTGACACCACGGTGTGCGAGCCAGCAGTCAAAGGCTCCAGGTACGGCACCGATGGCGTTTTGGAGGAAGCCGAGGCGCTCCTTGAGGTCGTCGCTGTTGAAGGCTGCAACACCCATAAGAACGTCACTGTGGCCGTTGATGTACTTGGTCACACTGTGCACCACGATGTCTGCACCGTGCTCGAGAGGGTTCTGGATGTAAGGGCTCATGAAGGTGTTGTCCACAACCACGAGAATACCGTGCTTGTGAGCGACTGCGGCCACGGCTGAGATGTCGACCAGAGAAAGAGTAGGGTTTGATGGTGTTTCAATCCAAATGAGCTTGGTCTCAGGCTTGATCAAAGCCTCGACATCCAACTCGATGCTGGGGGTGAATGTGACATGGACGCCGTGAGCCTTGGCGACCTTGGTGAAGTAACGGTGAGTGCCACCGTACACGTCAGATACACTGACGACGTGAGAGCCGGTAGCCAGAGATTGGAGGATGATGGCGGTAGTTGCGGAGCCAGAGCTGAAAGCTAGAGCATACTTGGCCTTCTCAAGTGCTGCGATGCAGTTCTCGAAGTTGTCACGGTTGGGGTTTGAGCTACGAGTGTACTCGTATGCGCCAACGGGTTGACCGACAGCAGTCTGAGCATATGTTGTGGAAAGAGAAATCTGATAATTGTGTTAGTCAATATATCTCGGTGACCTGAGCAGTCCTCTGTCTCTACATCCAGACACAATATTGTAAGACATGATCAATTTCAGGATGCTAACATAGATCCAGCCTGAGATCATCCGATATCAAGGAACAACATTCGACAGACTGCAGAGAGGTAGGCTTTTGATTGAAGAACATAGAAAACTTACGGGCTCAATCACAGCACCAGTAGTAGGGTCATGCGGCGATCCGGCGTGTACGGCGAGCGTGCCGAAGCCGTGTTGTCCATGTTCCGAGGGCTGCATATTGATCGTCTGGAAGATATTGTAGACCTTTGAAAATTTCCAAGTAGGAGAAGGAGGTGGAAAGGAGAGAATGAAAGAAGTCCTAGCACTTTCTATTGCTCGAGGGCGTTGTTATGTTGTCGAATCACGCAATCCTTCGCCTGCGCAAGAATAATTCGCTTCCTTTGTCCGGGAAAAGGGAGTTTCTCGAAGATGGATTTGTAACGAAAGAATGTAGCACGATGTTCTTTAGGCAGGTACGAAGGATGGCGAAGTAGTTCCTGCAGATGCAATAAACTTTTGGGCTGCAAGAAAAAATCAGGATTGGCTCGATGAGCAATGGATTCTTACAGGGCGCCTGTTGAACGGCGCCCTGGCTGCTCGGCGTATTCGGAGACTTCGGCGTATCTCAGTCATCTTTGACAGTCTAAGACCAAAACTTGACAATGAGAAATCAAACCTTTTTCTATATACGGCTCTCCAATCGTGGGGAAGGAGGATGCTGCCAGTACAGGAAATGGATGGCGAATTATGCAAGTCAGTCTTGATACGCATAATACATCCCTAGAAGATTCATTTATCCCAATGCCAGTCTATACGCGTGATGGAAGACACAATCTCAAAGCAGGAAGGTAATGCATATAAGGCAGTATTGCTTGAACCTTGCACGGCAGGCTCATGTATACATCATCACACGTATGTCTTTACATAGGTCAGAATTGGTCAAAAGTCGTACTTGTAATGCGGTCGCTGTCGATATGAGTTTCGCGATGAACAAGAGATCTACCCTGATACTATATGACCACACTTGTGACCAGTAGAGATGGCATGGCAAACTAGTATCCGATTCATCATGGCTGGATTCTTATAAGGAGGTGCGTTGTGGGTCGACGTCTCGTATAGGGTTCAAGCGCTCAAAGTCAAGCAAGGCAGAAAGAAGATAAAGTGTGTAGAAGGGTGCCCGCAAGCACCCTGGTGGAATGATATCATGCAATTCGTAGCAATATTGTCCAGCCCAATGCATTCCCCTTCGCTCCCAGATACCAAAGACAAAAAAAAAGCAAGATTAAAGAAAGAAAGAAACGCCTCCAATGGGATCATTTTACTCCAGACCAGTTTGTAAGAGAGGAAAATATCGAGCGAGGTATGTATAGAGTGAGGGTGCGTCGAGCGTTCAGTACGTGCGTTTCTTCTGCTTCGACGCAAGTTCTTCGAGCTTGCGTTTGCGCTCGAGTTTTTGGCGCTTGAGTTCGTTCTCCTCGGCCAAGGCTATGGCGTCCTCACGCTTTGCGATGCGCGTGGATGCTTCTTCTTCCTCGTACATCTCATCGACACCAGCCTCCATATCGGATCCTGATTCATAGTCGTCTTCTGGCTCATCGTCTTCTTCCTCATCTTCTTCATCGGAGTATGAAGCGTAGCGACGACCAGCGCCATAACCAGACCTGCTGGGTGCTGGTGCCTTTGGGAGTGGTTTCCGAGCGGCAGCACCGCCAGGGCCTCCCATAGTACCACGATAGACGGGAGCAGCAGGAGCATTTGGACGCATAGTGCCTTTGTATGCGACCTCGACAGGTTTCCTCTTATCCTTGGCTGATACACCAGTCTTCAAGTCGACCAAAGGCTCAGCACTCTTGCCCCTAGCTTTCAGACCAGTCTTTGCGTCCTTGTTCAGCAGGAATTTGCCCTTTTGAGCAGCACGAGCTTCCTCGACAAGACGTTGGCGATCTTTCTTGGTGAGCTTCTCGACTGGTTTGTGCTTGATTTGGCCGGCTAGCTTAGAAGCTTCGGCATTTTGTTTTGCGCGTTCCAGGACAGCCAGATAACCTCCTTTGGCGGTCGCAGGTGCAGTTGAAGAAGCGGTGGACACCGGCGATGGTCTCACAGGGGCAGATGAAGTGACGGCAGGTTTCGTTGATGGTTGTACTTTTGCAGCGGGGCCACTACCTCGGTAGGGAATGGCAGCCTTGGGTGGCGGGACAGCGGGTCTTTGAGCTGGGGACGACGTAGTGCTGCGCGAAGGAGGCGGAGCGAGGGAGGCATTTTGTTCAAATCTCGAAGTATTGGTCTCGGTTCTAGCGACCTTTGGTTTGAAGTCGTTGGCAGCGTCGTCGGCTTTCCGTTTCGGTGGCACTTGCTGAGGAGTGGGATTGCGTGACGGCGGATTCGATCGGACGGTGGAGGGGAGTGTTTGTGAGCGAGGAGGAGCGGGCTGGTCGCCGTTGATGGACGACAGGATGGAGTTGAGGAGCTGTCGGTCGCGTCAGCCAGGTTGAGCAGAGCGACGTGCGGTCAGGCCAGAAGCAGAAGACTCACGCTCATGGCTACGGATGTCTTCAGAGATAGCAAATTGTCGTCGAGCCAGAAGCAGGCATGCTGTGGTGGTCGCAGCCGATGCTGGAGAGTCGCAGAGGGACGGAGATGCGACGGACGAGGGCGATAGGCAGACGGGGGCAGATGAGAAGTGAGGACGGCCTTCCGACTGTCGACTTAAGTATCGCCCAGCGCGGCCAGGGTGACCGCAAGCAGCCTTGGTCTGTGCACTTGAGGGCATGTCGCCAAGACGGTTCCTTGGCAAATTCACACTCAGCACCTTTTTCGCTCGCCGACCTTCCCAGAATTTACCACGACTCTCACGAACAGGAAGTCTCAGTCTCCGCTCAAGAACCGCGGTTAAATCGATTGATTCTCAGCTGTTTTATCAACTCCCACCGTGAGTCTCTCTCTCTCGCACACCGTCAACACCCACTTCTTCGCAACCGCCTTTCGCATCGCACAGCCCCGACTGACAGGATTTTGCGCGCATCCAGAAATCCAAAATGAAGTACCTCGCAGCCTACCTCCTCCTCAACCTCGCCGGCAACGAGCAGCCCTCTGCCGAGGACGTCAAGTCCGTCCTCTCCTCCGTCGGTGTTGACGCTGAGGGTGACCGTCTCGAGAAGCTCATCTCCGAGCTCTCCGGCAAGAACATCCAGGAGGTACGCACACGCCCGCCGACACGCAAATTCTTCTTGTTCGCACGCGCAATACTCACACACCCTACAGNNCTGATCACCGAGGGTTCCGCCAAGCTCGCCTCCGTTCCCTCCGGTGGTGCCGCCGCTGCTGGTGGTGCTGCCCCTGCCGCTGGTGGTGCCGCCGAGGCCGCCCCCGCCGAGGAGAAGGCCGAGGAGAAGGAGGAGTCCGACGACGACATGGGCTTCGGTCTCTTCGACTAAGCGTCTCGCAACCTCTGTTGAAAAAACTGGTGCGAAAGGGTGGTTCTGTTTGTGGGAGCAGTCGGGCGCATGGGAAAAGGTCTCTACGCTACAGCCGCAAAAGGCACGGCCATACTCTGAATGCTTTATTTGTTGCCAGGGCCCCGAATGGAGAACTCTACATTACCTCCATGACCATCTTGTGCCGTTTCTGTTCACATGTGACATATATGCTCGTGACTATGACTTGGGAGAAGGCTTTGCAATTCTTGAGAAATCGCGAATCAACACACGTAACTAGATCTACACGAACAACTATATGGCATTTCATAGCGACTCGCAGTCACTCTGAAGATCGCTTTTATCAAGGTGCTTGGGGTCTTCACTGTCTGGCTGGCCAAGGTCACGTGAGACGCACGGACGGGCGAAGCGAGAGGCACTCGATTTTTGTTCGAATTTGCTCCACCGCGCCTTCGAAACCAGCTTGCGTCCGACAACTTCGACTACCGACCTCATCGACATAATGGCCGACACTGAATACGTACGTCTGCGCCAGCTCATCTCTCTGCGCATCATCAACACCTGCTGACTTGCTGCCTACAGAACGCCGAGGAGGCTGCCGGTATGAGATGACTCTTTACGCACCGCACCCCTTCGCGACACCGCGCAATGGCATAAAACCCTGTGGACAGGCCACGAAAGGGGTGCAGGAAGATGGAACATGGACTGACTGAGCCCTCGCAATAGCCCTCAAGGCCAAGAGATCTTTCAAGAAGTTCACCTACCGTGGTATCGACCTTGACCAGCTCCTCGACCTCTCCTCCGAGCAGCTCCGCGATGTCGTCCACGCCCGTGCCCGCAGACGCTTCAACCGTGGTCTCAAGCGCAAGCCCATGGGTCTGATCAAGAAGCTCCGCAAGGCCAAGCAGGAGGCCAAGCCCAACGAGAAGCCCGACCTCGTCAAGACCCACCTCCGTGACATGATCATCGTCCCCGAGATGATCGGCTCCGTCGTCGGTGTCTACTCCGGTAAGGAGTTCAACCAGGTCGAAGTCAAGGCCGAGATGGTCGGTCACTACCTTGGTGAATTCTCCATCTCATAGTAAGTTTGCCCGCCTCTCAAGACTGTCTCGATCAGCTCTCTAACACCCCTCCAGCNNAAGCCCGTCAAGCACGGTCGCCCCGGTATTGGTGCCACCCACTCTTCCCGTTTCATTCCCCTCAAGTAAGCGGGACATGTACTCGAAGATGCTACGGTCAACAAAAGTTTGGGAATGGATTCATTGTTGTCTGGCGCTGGCATACAGTGCTTCAATATATCCGTAGGCCGCAATGAATCGCCTCATGAAACTCACGTCTTTTTTCCAAATTTCAACCATGTGTACAAATGTGACCAATATGTCCATGTCTCCCGGCATCAGAGTTGTAGCGAGTATGATGAACTGCACGGCTGCACATGTCTTCCGGAGGAGTTACAAATCTCAATCTTTATCGTGTCTTATCATCAGTGAACACTGCTTTTTCTCCACCAGACCCCAGGTTGCACGCCTATCTCTTGCCGGCAAAGTTGCCATTGGCCATGCGGGTCGTGTTGGACCTCTACTCAGCGAAGCACGCCTTGACCTTCCTTCTCCATTCAACCTCCCATCACGGCGTCCTTATCAACACCTTTTCTGATGCTCATCATCGGCAGCATTCGGAAGCGATATCGCTGCACGTCCACTTCTTCACAACATCTACCTGGGGTGCCCAGTCGACCCCAAGACCGCTGGGGTCAAAGCCAAGATTTCAACTTCATCGGTGTCGTGATAGGCGTACATCTATCCACTTCGGTCATTTTGAAGGGGTAATAGCTAGCCGGCAAGGTTTCTACGAGGGAAACCATTACCCCTCGATAACTCGACCATGTCAAAATCACTCACCAAACCCTTCTGCTCACCGCGATCTAAGCCACGGTCAAGCATGATAGTGTGGAAACGTGCATCACCCTCGCCGATAGTGGCCGTCTGCGTTGAGAGCAGGTTTTCCGGTCTGTATCATTGGGACAGAAGGGTTCAGACCTGAGGCTATATAAACCATGAGTCTGTCGTACTTGTAAGTCTGCGCGATCATAGACCACTCCATTTCACTCTCGTTCCATTCGTCTCTCGCTCAATCCCATTTCCTGTCCTGTAATCGGAGAAAATCCATCTTGTGGTTCTACATCATGCTCACGACCCTATCCCTTCTTGCTACGCTGGGCTCTCTTAGCCATGCCGCTGCTCTGCCTACCATCCCACAACTCGAGATACGCCAGTCTGTGGCCAGTGTCAACGCCAGTCTAGGAAACGTCACCATCTTCGGCACCGGCATGTCAACCAGCTTCCACGATGGTCATATCAATCCACTAACAGTCAATANNGGTGGCACTATTGCTGGCTCTGCTGGTTCGGGTGTTCAAACGACTGGCTACACTGCTGGAGCTGTAGCGATCCAAACTCTGATTGATGCCGTGCCCGAGTTGCTCAACATCTCAAACATCAATGGCGTCCAAGTCGCAAACGTAGATTCGGGAAACATAAACGCCACTGTTCTCCTGGAACTCAATCGTCAAATCACAGCCGAGCTCGCGAAAAACACCTCGAGCGGTGCTGTGGTGACCCATGGTACTGATACTCTTGAAGAGACTGCATTCTTCTTGGATCTCACCATTGGATCCAAGAAGCCTGTCGTCGTTGTCGGCGCAATGCGTCCCTCGACCGCTACTTCTGCGGATGGTCCTCTGAATCTGTATCAGGCAGTCACGCTGGCAGTCACTCCCGAAGCCAAGGGCCGTGGTACAATGGTTACACTTAACGATCGCATCGACAGCGCCTTCTATGTGGTCAAGAACAACGCAAATTCGTTGGACACATTCAAAGCCATTGAACAAGGCCATCTTGGTTTCTTCTTGGACTCGATACCGCAATTCTACTACTCAGCCGCCACACCCCACGGCAAACCTTTCTTCGATCTTGCAGCATTGAACCTGACTTCCTTGCCTCATGTCGACATTCTCTATGGCCACCAAGACAGCAACCCAGAGCTCATCCGCGCCTCTGCCGAATCAGGTGCCGAAGCCATCGTCTTTGCTGGCACTGGTGCCGGTGGTTGGACATCAGCCGGCAGAAAGGTTGCTCAAGCCGTCTACAATGAGACTGGCATTCCTATGGTATTTTCCACTCGTACGATGAATGGCTTTGTGTCGCCTGAAAGCAATGACTGGTCCATTGCTAGTGGCAACCTTGATCCTCAAAAGGCTAGGATTTTGCTTCAGTGCGCTTTGGCGGTTGGATATAACACAACGCAGATCGCCGATATCTTTGATGCGCTTCAGGTATCATAGTGTTCTGTTTCTCGAAAACACCATTCGTCCTCATAAGGTACACGACTTACGAAACTCAGTACATGTGGAGGCACAAAAGAGTTGTCATTTCTACAGATAGTAGAGATTGTTGTATGTACAGACAATATGAGTTCATGACATGATCATTTCCCATAGCAATGGTTCTCCATTGCCTCACTTCTCAGTCCTATTTGTAGACTGACATTTCGCCTGTGACACATGCCGCTTGACAAACCTTCCTCGATAGAACCACGTTGAGTACTTCTGACGCTGCGATACAGCATTGCTCTTTCCCTGGATGTACATTCATTTGCAATGAGTCTTTATCCATGAAACCATGTTGAGACTGACCTGTCCTTGCCGAGAGACGAAGATACGCATGGTCGTTTTTGTGTTTTGGTAGCAGTAACGTCGAGACCTCTTTTGTACGATAGTGCAATCGTGTTTCATGCCTGTCTATTCGGTATCCCTGCTAAATCGAGATCAAGAGTTGGTATACAATCATTCTAATGGGTTTTGCACCATAGATCCAATTTTATTGGAGGTGCATAGATCATCACGAATGCTAGGTAAAATCGCTTCTTGAGAGTCAGAATACGACACTTTACAGAGAGAAAAGACAACTTTCAACTTTGTAACAATTCACAATCCAATCTCAATCTTAGAGAACTACTGTAGTAAGCAAGATCACTGGACGCGAATTTGATTACGTTGGAAACAATAAAGAGCCTCCGAGGTAATGCAGAAAGAGCAAGTAAAGGGCAATAATCAGGTCTAATAACGTCTTGTCCATCTCCGATAGTAACATGGTGTTGCAGTGATGGGGGGGATAGAAGAGACGTGAGGGGCGGAAGGCACAGGTGTATTGTTCTTCGGGCCTCCGTTAAGTAACACGCGTGATGGAACAATCGTGGTGCTTAGGGATCAACACGCGTTTACCCGGAAGCTGAGGGATAGATAGTACTATGTATTCCCAGAATCTCCTAACTGCCCTACTTGAAATGAAAACGTTGATACAATCTCCATTGCTTATGCTTACCTTGTATTGATTCTTCTATCTGTAGGTAGGCATACCATGCCAGTGAAGGGTTTTGTTCAAGACGGTAGACAAAAGAGCAATCAATCGATAGCTAGTTGCTGTGTCGAACATACAGATGGGTATAAGGGATCAGCAAAACAAAAGATGATCACGCCAGGGGTCGAACCTGGAATCTCTTGATTCGTAGTCAAGCGCCTTGCCATTGGGCCACGCAACCAATTGTTGAAGCTTGCCTCGGGTTCAGTCAATATTGTCTATGCTTTATCAAGAAACCCTGTGATTAACATGTCCTTCAGCCAGCAGGTCGCCTGAACAAGGACCGACAAGGTTTGACATGTGTGGCCTAATGTTTGACGAAGATGGCAGAAGAAGAAGCAGACATGACTTGCGGAGTTAACGATGGTCTGCGGAAGGAATTGTGGCTTCGACGTTAGAGCATTCCTCGATGGATGACCACATGCCTTTGAACCACGTGAATGATGATGTCGCTTTGTTGGAGATGGCGGCTCGCAAGTGGTGGGGATAAAGAAGATGTGCAGATTGGCTCGAAGGCCGCGGGCGCATCTTGCCAAGCCTCCGCCGGTTGTGATGCATCGCCCCTGCTGTGATGTCAAGACGAGACAAGGCGCAGCTTGTGTGAAGGAGTTGGAAGGATCGAAGGCTGAGGAAGAAGGAACAAGCTCGAAATCCTTTGCGATGCGCCTCAATGACCTAATTTGACTTTGGTGCGGCAACGGATGATACGGGGCAGGAGGCTTGGTACCAGGGAGTGTTGGTCTTGTATTGGATATAATAATGGCGTCGGTGTGCCGTCCATGACCAGCTCTCTCTAGTCTGCCAACTAATACTTGTCTACCAATCTTCGCACCTCATCCATTGGGCATTTTGTACGACTTACACACCTACTTTCCTCACAAGCACAACCTATTCTCGACTACAACCTACTCGAAAACCTACAACCACAACAAGACAGAAACATGAAGTTCTCGAACATCATCATCTCAGCGCTCGGCGTGGGCAGCGCAGTCAATGCAGCCGTCATCCCCGAAGAAGCAAACTCGCTCGCCATCCGCTCGAGTCACGACATCGCTACATCGCCCGAAACAAGCAACACTCTTGAGAAGCGTAAGGGAGGCGGTGGTGGTGGAAGAGGTGGCGGTGGTAGCAGCTCTGGTGGTGGTCGTTCTGGCTCGTCTTCGTCGGGCTCATCTGGCAGCTCAGGCTCTTCGGGTTCCTCAGGTTCCTCGGGCAGCTCTGGGAGTCGAGGCTCAAGCGGCTCAGGCGGTACAAGCGTAAGACCGTCGTACGGCGCTGGAGGCAACTACTACGCTGGCGGTGCAACGACTGCATACAGATCTGGCGGCCGTTCGCCTGGTGGTATTGCGCCATACGCTCTTGGAGGTGCGGCGCTTGGTGTTGGAGTCTTCGCCCTCTATGGCGCCGGCGCATACGCCTACCCTTACGCTCATCCTTACTACTTCCACAACCGCACCGAGGCCGCTCAAAACCAGACCTATGGCAACAACACAAACACCACACTTCCTGTCCAGTGTGTCTGCGCGCAAAACGCTGAGTGTGGATGTGATGACCAGGGAGATGATTCTTACCTGGCTTCGATTGTCGGCAACGGCTCATCTTCCGACATCAATTCGACTGTCGCTCGCATCGCCAATGTCAATGGCACCAACACTCTTGTCATCAATGGCACTCTTCCTGATGACGGCACTTCCTCTGGAAGCTCCTCAGGCTCAGGCTCAGGCTCAGGCGGCACCAGCGCTGCAACCGCCATGAGAGTACCCGAGTCTGCTGGCTTGTGGATGATTGCCGCTGGTGTTGGTGCTTTCGTCTACGCCATGTAAGCATGGGTAATCATTTCTTACGAGATATGGCATGGGCTGGCGTTTTTGCTTCTTTCTACTTGATACCACACTAGGATAGCGCGATTGATTCTTTTGTACGAATATGAAGATTTCCTCATTGACTACTTGATGCTCTCGCTTCATTCGAAGCCTTAATACTGTATATGCATTTAGATCGCATGGATCGATCATGGGACTGGTTATATATTCTCTTAACAGTACATGGGATGCATATATGCTCAGGTAGGTCGTCAGAACATCAGCGATGCACAGGCACACGCATCACAGGCTTTTGTGGTGATCGCGAAAACAGTTCTTGCAAACTATTGCCCACGGTGTCGACGACACTGCTCATGACGGATAGTTAAGCTATCAAATAGCGGACAAGCCAGTAAATCGGTTGTGCACGTTGACGCTGGAAGAGAACAGCGGTCATGAGTCTGAGAAGCGGAGCTACATGCGTCCACACCTCAAATTTCATCTCTCTAACAATCTTGCAACCTATCTCTATTCAACCCACGCACTTGATGGACTAACTTTCGTCAAGCAGCCATTCAAACCTCACAGGCATCAATACACTGATCCTATCTTGTTCTCTTCTTCAACGACCAGCTCAAAGCTGATGCATCAATGAAAAGTGGTGAACAATGTGACAAAGCACAAAGTGTATGAAATGAAAAATTGCAGAAGTGGAGGCCCCGAAGGACATCCATGGAGAGTCTCCTGCGCGCTGTGCAATGCACGGAGTCTCTTCAGAAGAGCAGCCTTCTTGATCGCCGCCTTCCCTCCAAGGTAAGTATGAAGGAAGAAAGACGGAGGGTGAGGCAGAGCGACGTTTTATACACAGGATATGGGACAGGGATGACTCAGCAGTTGGTTGGGAGGATGCACTGGGCAGGTGATATGGTTGGGGAAGGAGGCTTCGAGGATTGGTTGGTGCCAAGCTTGGAAGGCAGGCAGCAGGGGAGGCTCGTGAGCTTCGATGAGAGACTTGCCTTTCTGGTTGGACGAGCAAGAAGGCCATGCTCTTGTCGAGGCTTCGATGATGAAAACTGATATACATGTGCTTGATCGTTCTCGTACGGAGGTTGATTTGCTGACGACGATATCTGCTCAAGCAGTCTCTGGCGAAATCCAGATCGTTTCTTTCGAGCAGCGACAATGACGAGCGTCCAGCAAGACAGACATTCATTTGTGCATGACTCACTGCTTCTACAGCTTCGCCGTCCACTGCTTGGATCTGCCATGGCACCCGAACAGACCAGCAAGCGCTTGTAGTCTACTGCTTGTTCATTAGCATCTTACCCTCGACAGCGACAATCTCCATCATGTCTGTCTAGCCGCGCCGGCCATTCTTCGATCACGTACCTCAACTCTCGCCCTAGACGTATGAGCTTCGACTTCACGACCCAACATGCTTACCCGATGACATGCTGCATCTATGCGACAATGCCCCAAGTTCCTTTATGACGCTGGAAGGGAGGGAGTCGCCCACGTCGTTGTTGACCTACTGCAAGAGTCATGTCATGACATCCACACTCCCACTACATGAGCAGCTGTAGGATATGCTATATATGGCTTGTACTTCTGGCAATACACATGTGCAGTCACATGAAGATGGCAGTGATATTGTGCTCTGCATTGCGGTTAGGGTATGCAATCGTCGTAGGAGGCATTCGATGGCAGATGTTCGGTCTATGATTGATACGCTCAGGGGGCGACACAAACAGCACCAATATGTCGATTTCATCGATCAATCATGTATACCTGCCACGCCGACGTTTTGTGAGCTGATGGACGTGCGCTCTCTCTTCACAGCTGGAAGGTCGGTGAAAAGGCCAGGGTGGTGCCCACAACTAGCATTTGTGACTACCTTTTTGTACTGGTACGCCGACCTTTGGTCTTTTGCACTCAATTAGCTTGCGACTTGTCTTATAATTATGTGTAGTAGTGTGTGTATAGTTCTGAGATATTTGGCAGCTATATATGTTGAGATATGGGCACATATCTGAGCTCGAAGTATGGGTTTTGGAAAATGGCATAGAACGTGTGCGAAACTGTCAGCACCCTCAAGGACAACACAGACTGCACCACAGTAGCGAGGATATTTGTTCACTCTCTCGTTGGTTATGACCGTACGCGGCTACAGTACTGCAGGTGCAGGGTCAGCAGGTAACGCGGACGAGCAGCATTGCATGTCCGGAGACCTTCGACGAGCAACCGCCGTAGAAGGAAGAAGCGTTAGTGACAACCGTTGCTAACAGGTGAGTATCGGCTTGCCGATGCTATAGATGCGGCAAGCACGTTGAGAACACACCCACGCTTGGACCTTCCTCGAGTTTTCCGATGCCTGTGAAGCTTGTCCTGAACGAGCAACTCGATATTCAGACGAGTGTCTGCTGAGCGCCTCTGGCCAGTTCTGGTTTGTCACACTCCGGTAGCGATACTGTCGTCTTGTGTAGTCACGCGATTGAGGTGGGTACGTAGGCATCAGAAAAAAAGCCGAGAGGCGGTTGAACAAAAAGCGTGTGGACACCCAGAGTTTACGACATCCAACAGTCTCAGGAAGCTTCGACGACAAAGCAGTGAGCTTGAATCACCACTATGGTCTCTCTAACAAAAAACAGCAGTATCCTGATCGTAGGAGGCGGGACGTGGGGTTGTTCTACAGCACTGCATCTCGCTCGTCGCGGATACAAAAATGTGACTGTATTGGAAGCCCATCCCATTCCCTCACCCATCTCTGCTGGCAATGATGTCAACAAAATCATGGAAGAAGGCGAGCCTTCAGAGACTGATACCGAAGAGCAATACGTTTGGAACCGCATGCACCAGCTCACGACAAAATACTGGAAAGAGGACCATGTATTCAAGTCATTCTACCACCCCACTGGTATAATATTCAGCGCCATATCGGATGATGTATATGAGCACGTCAAAGGATACACCAAGGGTACAGAGAGCGAGTGGGCGGCGCTGAACTCGCCTGAAGATTTTAAGAAGACCATGCCGCAGGGTGTATTGCAAGGTGACTTCCCTGGTTGGAAAGGGTTCTGGAAAGACCACGGCGCCGGTTGGGTGTTTGCTCGTGGTGCCATGGTCTCCGCGTATGAAGAAGCCTTGAAGCTAGGCGTCAACTTCATCACCGGCGAATCAGCAGGAAAAGTGACAACACTTCTCTACTCGGACTCCAAGGATACAATCACAGGTGCACAAACAGTGGATGGCACCTCTCATTACGCAGACCAGACCATACTCTGCGCAGGAGCCAATGGTGATCTGCTCTTCGATTTTGAGCAGCAACTGCGACCTACCGCATGGACATTGGCCCACATACCGCTGTCTATCGAAGAAGCAGCACTCTTCAAGAACCTACCCGTGCTGTACAACCCCGAAAGAGGTTTCTTCGTTGAGCCAGATGCCGAGAAACGTGAGCTCAAATTCTGCGATGAGCATCCGGGATACATCAACATGGTCAAGACAGCGACTCCTGGCTACCGCGAAGGGACCACCCACTCTCAACCTTTCGCCCGCCATCAAATCCCGGTGGAGAGCGAGACTCGCATGCGCAAATTCTTGCAAGAAGCGATGCCCCAAATTGCGAACCGCGACTTTAGTTTTGCGAGAATCTGCTGGGATGCGGATACTGTGGATCGTCAATTCTTGATTGACAGACCAAAGGGCAAAAGCGGATTGGTGGTTGCGGCTGGTGGCTCGGGTATGGGATTCATGATGATGCCGGTAGTTGGACAGCTGATTGTGGACCGTATGGAAGATGTGTTGGAGGAGAGATTGCAGAAGGGGTTGAGATGGCGACCCGAGCAGGCGATAGGGAGGGATTGGCAAGCGAGTAAGTTTTGTCTCGTCTGATGAGTTGAGGAATATTACTGATCGTGACTGNCAGTTCAAGACAGACATGGTGGTGAAGGAAAGATCATGGACTTTCATGATGTCAAAGGATGGACAAGTGGTAAGGGCGACCAAGTGCCGAACGCTGAGCCTGCCAAAGATACGAAGATGTGTAACTCGATGTGATAAGACTGTCCTCAGAGAAGGTAGCAAAGCATTGCTTACAGCACACCCATCATGCGTATCCAAGTCGAAGTGCACGACTTGCCGTGAATGGGAAATGCCACATCCGTATGGTCCCAGACTTCTTGATATTCACAGCCCCATAACAAACCCCATAACCAAGCCACAACATACCAATTTCGCTGTACCAACATCTCAAATCCAGAGTATCCACCCTCTCGTCATAACGACCACGGCAAATACTGTCCAAGCAGAAAAAATCGCATCTCGTATCCATCCACAGTGCATCATAATACCCGATTACTATTCCAACGACGCCAAAGACCAAAACTGCGACGTTGTATCCTCGCTTTTAGACTTTACGCCCAATGTTTCCGAAACCGGTGTAGCTTTAGACTTTCCACGGCATGCCAATTTGAATTCATGTACCGTTGATGTTTATATTTATGCTTAGACGATCGACCCGCGAAGAAAAATGTTTATTCTTATGGCCGACGGCGAAGACGCAAAAAAAAGACATGACTTTTTGACTTTTGTGTTGATCGAGACGACACAGTCAGAAAAAAAAAGTTTGTTGTCGGTGATGATGTGAAGATAGAGTTGGAGATCATGGTCGCATGTGCGATTCCCAAGCGAGATCGTGACCGGTTGTTGCGACGGCAGATTTTGGAAAGTGCTTGAGCGCATGACGAGTGATCTCGGAATGGCAGGTACGGTACGAGATACTGGAGTAGACATGATCGCATGGCCGGGAGTGTTGAGAAATGGGTTGTACATTGTGTATGCATAGCTCTTTCCTGCAGCGGTATGTACAACAGAATCTCTCTCCGACCACTCGAGGCCCATATGGGCAGATGATTATATAAAGACGAGAAAGAAAATTGGGTATAGAGGATTAATATAGAATGTGAAAAGAAAAAGGAAAAAAAGAACGTGTGCTCATTGAAGACGGTTCCAGCCTCCTCCCTAAATCCAGTCATTATGCTTCCATCTTTTCCTGACGTGATGTCAATCCAGTTTTTTCCCTTTCACGGACTGGTTCCAGTAGTAGAAGTGGTGGCAAAACTTGTCTCTTGCAAGACACTCCTTGTCATCTTGATGCCAGGGTAGTCTGACAGAATGTGTTCCTCGGAATCAGAGTCGCGAATGCTGTTCTCCTTGACAGTGCCTCCCTTGACAATGACGTCTCTATCAGCAGGACGCACGCCCTCAGGAAGTTCGTATCCAGCCTCGCAGTTGACATAGTTGCGGCGGCCAACCTTTGAGCGGGTTCCGTTCATCTTGGAGGAAGCATCTGGTGCTGAGCTGCCGAGATGGAAGACGCGACGGAACAGAGGGCGCAAGGTACTCAGGCAGCCGACCACCATACCGATACCATTCTCGGCGTAGCCCCAAATGACAATATCGCCAACGCCATGGATGTAGTCTGTGGAGTTGTTCAGGTTGACAGTGTACTTGAGACGAATGCAAGCAGAAAGACTGGCCAGAACGCCCAAGCTCAAAAGGAAGACGACCGAGACTTTCGAGTTGCGGTTCAATTGGATTGACCACAGCAAAGGAACAGGCCTAGCAAAGAGAAGTCAGTGACAAGAGAGACAACTAGCAATCCATGAGGCTTACAGTAATGCGCAGAACCAGTCAGTGAAGATGTTGACGGCAGTGTCGGCGTAATAGATATTGGTAAGGGTGGTTGGGGAATTACAGCGTCCTCCAGGAGTTGATGTGTCCCACGCCCATGAAATGGGATTGCAGTGGAAGATGATGACGAATAGAGAGATAACGTTCATCACGATGAACATGGCAGAGGTGACCCAAAGCGACATGACAAAGCTTTTCTTGCTGCTCGCAATTCGCATTTCCATCAATGAGATACTGAGCTTGATGGGCACAATTGCAATGCAGTAAAAGACTTCGAAGAAAAAGAACCANCTGGTAATGGTCAGCTCTCGAAGTAAGATATGATACAATTGACAATGCCTTACATGAAGACCCTCAGAGACCTGCTTCTCACCCAGCTCAGCTTCATGCCCACCGATGCCGTTGAAAGCACCACCAAGACATGCTATCGTCAAGGCAGTAAACGGTACGGCAGCGAATAGCATCGACCAGTCGTCGGCACCCCATGCTCGAGTGCTCAATCTGATGTAGATTCGCAACGCCAGCAATGGGTAGGCCATTACAGACAGGACGATGACCGTCGCAGCTAAGCGTGGTCCAGTATCTGTCGACATGATGAAGCGGAGAACTGTTTCGACCTGAGGTTCAAGCAGGGATGTAGTGGCGATACGATGACAATGACCAGGTGGACAGTTGCTGCAGAACTCCTTTCCTTGACTGGATTGTGGGACGCCTGGCAAGTTGAAACAGTGATGCGTTGGAGGGGAAACAATATGTATGTAAAAGTGACTCGTAGGTGCACAGCAAAGACGTGGAGGTCAGGGGAGCTTGAAAACTTAAAGAGTGTTAGACTCGAGGCACACTTCCGGTTCAGAACCCGTTAGCCCTTGCCGGTGGCCGAAGTTTGCCTAGGCTTGTGGAGTGCGTGCGCCTTTCTTTTTCTTGAGAAGGATCAAGACCGTTGTGTCACTCCAGCTGATGGCGTCGAAGGCGTGGATGAACGTAGACTAGGTACCCAAGGTGCCTAACACAGATGTATCGTAGTGGTGACCCGTAAGCTGGCTGCAGGTGGCAATTGAGGCCTCAAGTATCGAGAAGAGAGAAGGCTGTGGTATCGACAGAAGGACAGAGAGGTGGAGTAATGAATGAATTTGTCAAATCGCAGAGTCCACATCAAGTTGATGGACCCAACCCGCGTATTTCAGCCGACTGCCGAATGAACGAAGACGGATCAGTGATAGTGGTCAATCCCAATTCTCTTCGGGGGATGTTCCTGTTTCAGTTGTGGTCGTGGTGTGCGGATCAAAGCGCAATGACTCTCGTCGCCCCTGCATCCCGGCTTTTTTTGCATGTGCAGGGACCTTCATCCAGAGAGCCCGGCGGACAGAATAGATTATGTTGCTCGCTTTGATGAGGATCAATGTCGCAACAGCGCTGAAACATAACTTGGTTCTTGTACGGCTCCACGATACTACAATTGCGTGTTCGATGCTGCAACAATGCTTGAGTATAAGCTGTTTTACACTGGACGATGCCGATGTAAGCAAACTCTCTCGAGTCAGGAGAAGACGTCCAGAATCGTGGCACCTGTGCAAAAGAACAGCAGCTATCCAGGACTCTCAGTTTAGCGTGCTTTGATGTGGCACAGGAGACCCCAAGTCAACGGCTTGTGGGTCTCTTCCCGTCCAAACTACTGGGTCAGGCAGGCGTTCCTATTCAAGCGTGATTGGTTGCCTACAGCGCTGGCTCCTGACTCATGAGCCTTTGCCGTCGTCAACCTCGTGTTTCTGTTCTTTTTTTTTTTGCGCGTGAATTCTCAACGTATTCCCAACAGAGGTACCTTCCTCACTCCGGCCGCCCGAGCCACCTATCGACCGGATCAACAACAGAGGCAGGCATATCTTGGCTGCACTTTTGGACAAAGAACATGGTGAAGGGTTGACAGTCGAACACTGTCTAAGGTTCTTGGTAATCGAAACACGACTCATTCATTCAGTCTCCACAAGGGTCGTCAATGGACGGCATCACGGCATCTCCGTGTATGGCAGACACTAAGAGTGCCTAGAATCTGACATGACCCTGACACTTTCCGTCGCGAGCGACATCTACCGTTCTTGCTCAGTGCTCGAATCGTGGCTCAACTCAACAGTTGAATGCCCACGTGAGGCGCCAAGAGAGGTTGAAACGACAGTGTCAAAGGTTGTAGATGGAGATATTGTCGGAAGATATCTCCCAAAGGCCATCTGGCCACTGGTCTCATCGTGCCAATGCAGAAGGTAACATTGAATTGTAGCCTCCAGTGTACCATAGAAGGCACTTATTGATTGTCTTACGAGAAGAAGTTGGCACCACTAAGAGAGGGTGGCGCACTTGAACAGACGATCTTCAGGTACTGTATGAGCACCTGATGATCGACTGTATACGAACTAAGAACAATACGACGAAGCCCCTAACGGAATTCTTCACCGATAGTAGGTATAGTGGAGGTGCTCCATCGATTTGACAAAGCTGTATTTGCCTGGTCGAATGTTATACGGACGTAGAGGATGATGATGATCAGAAGACTGGCGACTATAGTGAGTAACTGCGAGTCATATGTGGTTGCTAGCGTAGAGACGACAGACAGACAATTCTTCATGTGTAGACATATCAGGCGTGTTATCACCTCAAGGTCGAAGCTTGCCGAGACACGAGTGGAGATGGTCTAACGATAGAGCTCGAAGGATTTAGGCAGGTGATTAGAATCAATTTAGTTGTCCATATCGAGGCCGAGTGATGGCACAGGGACGGTCGAGTTCGGCAGGTAGATGGGTTTATCAATTTGGAAGGCGGGTCCTTGCACGTTGCTCGAGCGCAACTAGTGCAAGCTGATGGAGGATGGGTAGAGTAGAGAATGATGAAGTGATTGGGATCGACAAGAGCATTGACACTGTTCCCTGCGATGGACATCTGCAGGGAAAGACAGTTGCTGTATCTGTTATACCTTGTGGTGGAGGTAGAAGCGAAGAAGTCCATAAATACAGGCGATGATATCCCCTCGCGTCGGAGGATCGACGGGGTCGAGCAGAGTTTATTATAATGTCTGCATTGGACCATCTGTCGGCAGTCATAGTTTGCGGTACCTAGGCTCTCACGCAACATATAAGCGGCACGCAAGCGAGAGATAATCGATTTTTGATATCGGACATATTGCTGAACAACAGAGTGTTAGGTCCTGGTATTTTGTCTGCGCAAGCCCCATCGCTTATCAAGAGTTGAAACACAGGTGGCTGTTGATCAATAATCACAAAAAGAATCCGATATCTTTCAGAAAACAACGCACTTTCAACCAGCGATAAGCACCGGGCTCGTGGACTATGGTAATGTGGTCAAACCAAAGGGTCCGGAGAGAAGGGAGAATGGATGCAGAAGGATTCTGGCTGGAAGCTTGGGCCATGTTTGGCGGGGTTGGAGGCACAATTTGGCAAGAGCAACTTGTTGGTTGATATTACACATGTCAGAAGTCACAAACCTCAGCGCAAGAGACATGGTCTTGTTCAAATAGCTGGCTCTGGCTTCACAACGGGCACAAGCCTTGCTCAACCCATTTTGTGCACGACAATGACACAGTGGCTATGTCTTGGCCAGCCTGCCTGAAACGTCTTGGCCCTTGGCGAACATTCAGCTCCCAACTGAAGCAGTGAACCCCTCGCGGATCCCTTCGTCGACTACATCTCTAGTTGCTACTATACCATCTACCTGAAGACCGACAAACATGGCTGTCTTCTCGGTGTCTAGTGGCAGCTTTGCTGTGACGGCTGTCTTCTTGCTGTTCCTGCTGCATGCTCGCCCGGCTCATGCTTTCGGCGCCGGCAACATTGCCTCCGTGTCCAACGTCGAGGGTGTCAACTTCCGCCATGGAGACATCGAAGACACTCTCCTCACCCTCGTCAGCTCGTACGCCTACGCCAAGGGCGCCAAATTCAGCAAGATCGACGTCAAGCGTGTCTACTTTGGCAACTGGCTCCGCGACTACTCGCAGGCTGTTGATGTCGGCACTACCAAGCACGTCTCGGCTGAGGCCATTCGTATCCTGCTATGGGTTCTCGGCTTCCTCACTTTTGGCTACGGTACCGGCGAGTTCGAAGTCACCACCGAAAGACTGGGCTGCTACCGCCCCGAAGAGCACATCGACAATCCTCAGGGGTACGCCGAAGGAGAAGACGCCCGCCAGTATGACCGCCGACTTCGCGGCCCCGTAGACGAGGATAGAGAGTTGGGCATCGATGAGAGGACAGGTCTCAAGAACTACATTGCCTCGGAAGACATGAGAATTACCACGTCCGCCCAGCTGGTACGCAATTTGTTCGGCCGCTGCATCGATCTCGGTAGAGAGTACAACAGGAGCAGAGACAAGAAGCAGTTTTACGAGGCTTTGCGCCTCTTAGGGACAGGATGCCACACTCTCGAGGACTACTCTGCACATAGCAACTACACCGAGCTCGCCCTCATCGAGCTAGGCGAGCGCGACATCTTTCCTCACGTTGGCCGCAACACCCAAGTCCGCGTCCAGGGAGCCCGCCATCCGGTCTATCCTATCATAACGGGTACCTTTGGTGGTGTCGACTTTCTCCACTCGGTCATGGGCGAGCTGGACGACAAGGCCACCCAGTCCGAGATTCAAGAGCTGGAGGGCGTCATCGATAGTTCGCAGAACCAGAACACCAGTCTGCTCAAGAAGCTTCTCAAGGCACTTCCTTCTGGCCTTCTCGGCGGCAAGGATCAGGCTGGCAAGGTTGACGAGCTGCAGAGCAATGCCGCTGCTGCTCAGATGAGCAACATGAAGCTCTCACCTCGCCAACCCGAAGAATGGGCCAAGCAGCTTCAAGAAGTCCAGAACCAAATCTACCCCATCCTTCAGTTCCATGACGAACTCATGATGGGCATCAACGAGGCTATCGAGAAGATCCCCATCTTGCCTGATCTTCTCGAGCAGTTCACCGAGCAGCTCAACATCTTCGTCTTCTCACTGCTTGCTCCCTTCGTCTTGCCCATCATCAGTCAGGTCAAGGAGGAGCTCGCCACTGGTTCTTCTGAGGTCATTCAGAGCAGTCGCGACAAGCAACTGGTCGTCTTCCACGACGACAATTCGTCCAATCCCACACACTCCATGCTCTCCAAGGATCATTTCTCCAACATTCTTAACGAGCCTGCCGGAAAGATTGGATGTGCCGTCCTCAAATGGGTGGTTCCTCAAATCGTTCAGTGCTGGGACAACGAGAATATCGACATTGCCAGAACTCTCGACCGTATCATCGGCGGTGTCCTCCACCACCCTGCCTTGCGTCAGTTTGGCAACGATGGTGCTGCGGACTGCCGTCAAATCATGTTTGGTGTTGTTGAGCAGTGGTGGCAGGAGAAGTCTGAACGCGAGCGTGATGACCTCCGCCGCAAGCTCAGTAGACGCGGTGTCGAGACTGGTCAGAACCACAAGGAAGGAGTCCAAGACTCGGGACATGGATGCTGCAAGCCTCTCTTCCAGCAGAAGCAGCACAACAACGCTCCTGCTGCTGCAGCCCATGCAGCTGTTATGGAGGGCATCAGCGACTTCGTCAGTGGTGGTCAACAGCACAACAGCTCTGGCAATTATGGACACCCCAGCAGTCGTCCTACCAGTAGCTTCGAGCAGCAAGCCGGAAACTTTGTAGGTGAGGCTGTCGGCGGCGGCGCTCTCGGCTCTGTTCTAGGTGGTCTAGTCGGTAGCGTTGGAGGTAGCCTTTTGAGTGGCGCCTTCGAGTCACAGGGTCAGACTCAGACCTACCAACAGTCAAGCTACGGCCAAGACGGATCTCACACCCAGAGCTACATGCAGACTGGCGAGCGTCCCTCTTCTAGACCATATGGCCAAGAGCACACTGCACAGGCTGAGTACAAGACTACTCAATACCCCGGCGGTGGCCACAGAACGGAGTACAACCGCTACGAACAGGAAGGTAACTCTGGATACGGCTACCAGCAGAGCACCGAAGTTCGCCCTACACAAGGTGGCGGCTACGAGCAGCGTAGTGAGCGCCGCCAAGAGCGACCTGGTGGTCGCTGGGAGAGTGAAGTTCAGGAGCAAAGCGTTGGCGCTGCTGGAGAGTATTATAAGACCGAAGAAAAACACCATGGCAGAAGACATGACGATGATGACGACGACAACGAGCGCCGCGCCCACAGAAAACATGGATCAAACCATCGCAACGACTACGAGAGCGAGCAACAATCCTCCTACTCCCGCCCCGATAACAGCGGTGGCTTCCCTGGTGCCTCCTACCATGCTCAGCACGAAGAACGTCAAGACGAACGTCCTAATTACGGCAACGACAACTTCGGTGGCCGCAACGAGGGTTATGGCAGACAAGAGTATGGCGGTGGTCGCCAGGAGTATGGCAGTGGAAGGCAAGAGTATGGACGCGAAGACAATAACAGCTATGGCCGTCAAGAACAAAGTCACAGTCGTCGTGATGAAGATGAGATGCCTGGCGGCTTCCCTGATGACGATGGACGTGAACGTAGACACCATGGCGGTCGTCATGAAGACGGCAATGGCTACGATGGCGGCTATGAGGGTCGTAGATGGTAAGCCGGACAGCTTTGTTGAAGCAATCTGGTTGAGCCTTTCATTGAAAGATTGCATTGACTAGTCAGCATTAGAAAAGAACAGTATCATGAAGAAACGAGAACAAATAAAATCCTCAAAATATGCTCGTTCACAACAAAAATAATCGATCAAGGTCTGTCTGCATGCTTTCGTTGCCATGTAATCGTGGTGTCCTTTGTCTTTTGATCAATGGCTAGACGGTGATGCAGAAACTGCTGTGATCGAACGCTTTTTGTTTATGTTACCTCTTCATTTATGTAAGCAAGCTACAGAATCTTATCAACTTGACACACGTGGAAGAGGGATGCTGTTGTTTGATGTTCGAGAAGGGCAGCCGATCTTGTTGGTTCTTATTGTCGAGTTCAGACATCGACTATCTTGCATCTCAGTGGTTTTTCCACATCTCTTCTCGATACACCCTCGACTACTAACCAGCTCATCTTCTGTCTATTCCAGTGCATACTCAAGTTTGTTCCAACCCAAGTGTGACGATTGAAGACCGATGAAAATGTCTGAGGCCACTCTCCTTCCAGAACAGGCGCAGAGGCTATCTCCCTTTCTTCCATGTAACTTGCTATGTCTTCAAACGCCCCCTGGTCATAATCTGATACCCTCAAATACATGACAGGTAGCGTGGCAGGCACATCCAAGTCTCTAACAACTCTCCGCATGATGATCGTGGGTTCTCTGTGATAAGGATCCAAGCAGTGCGCACGTCCTTGACCAAGGAGAACCGCATAGAACGGCATGTAAAGGCCAGTACCAAGAGATATCAAAAGAGGCACCGGAGTCCCCGAGCCACCATAAGTTCCGGTCATCTCATCAGCGAAAGCCTCATCGGCCTCACGCAGGAAGTGATTGATAGAGCCATAGTCATGGGCAGCCTCGCGAAGACGTCTAAGTGTTGATCGGGAGATGGTAATTGTCAGAGACTCGATGCTGGGATGTGATCCTTGTCTTGTGTGGTCATGATACTCTGGAGCACGGCGTGATCTACGCATCCACTGGCCAGATGATATGGATGTATGCCCTCCACGTCGTCTCGGAGCTCGGTCGTTCATCTCTTGGGCCATTTGACTCAAAGACGACATAATAATGAAGTGTGCAAAATCGCTGTTGGCAGGGTCTAGGTTGGTGGAATGGATGCAGAAGAGTGGTAGAAGAGCAGGTTCTATGTGACTATTCGCAGTCATACAACTTAGCATGGGAAGAGTCAGAGGGCTGCGATCTCGAAAGAATTCGCTATAATGCACGCAATCCATGTGCCATGACTTGAGATGCATTCTTTTCTGCACCGAAGATGAGTTAAGGTCAATGAACTGCCTCAAAACGCCGTGGTCTACCATGAAGGCCGACCATTTTTAACCGTGAATGCCTGAGGCAGAAAAGGAATGACAGCCATAATCTCCATCTCCATCAAGATATCAAGTTTAGAGCCGGTTATTGACTTGCATGCGCAGTGGATTCGAAGACGATTGCAGCTGATTCGCAAGCGAAAGAGACGATCAAGACGACTGGGATTGGAACCAAGAGGGGGGACGAAAAGGCTCCTGTTTAATGGTGTATCTCAACATGTGGAGATGCACGAGTGGAAGATTTCCAACAATGTCTTCCAGAGTCTCGTATTGAAAGGATGTGGACGATGACAAGCGATATGGCAAGTGTTGGCGTTTTGCTGCCTCCCCATATGTGATAGGCAGTCATAGTATAGTTGTACAGATGTACAATCCACACTTGCCTAGCTCGATAAGGGCGAGCTCGGTGTAGTTGCTATGTGCAGACATGTCTATAAGAAATGCAACCTGTTCTACAAAGGCGCAAAGCCTTGTAAAACTGCTTCTTGTCTCTGCTCCTGTTGTATGCTCTACCGAGATCGATGCAACAGCCGAACGAATTGCGTATAGCTGGGCGGACGTGGCAATTTCCATGTCTTTCTGCTTCTTGTCTCGGCTTCTGTTGCATAAAGTAAGCACTTAACCAAGCTTATGATATTTTTTAAATCTTGTTATGCCCTTCCATGAAACAGATAAAGTCCTTTTAAGACAGTTAAGATCGTCATGAAAAAGTAGAAAAAGTCTTGTTAGTGACAGCTGCCAGGAACGGGCCGATTCGAACGCCTCGCACGGATCGAATGCGACCACCAAATCTTGGTTAACCTCGCAGAAGTGACAAACCCATCGACTGCTCTCTGATACGATGTATAGAAATCAAGGTAAGGCAAGTGCAGCATCTCGGTGGTGCTCGATGTGCTGCGAGGTAATCATTGTAAACAAGGGCTCCTGCCTGGAAAGCTAGAACAAGTATAAGTTGAGTCCTCGCCGTCCTTCCGTTGCTCCTTCCAAACCATTTCAATCCATTCGCCTCGATATCTTCCGGTGCTTTCAACACGATCCACAACCATGTTGGGACTTGCTACTATCGCCCTTGCGTCCACTGCCTTTGGTATCCCGAACGCCCTCCCCAAGTCAACGCCTCGTTATCAATATGTCATAATAGGGGGAGGAACTTCGGGTCTGGTTCTGNCCAACCGATTGAGCGAAGACCCTACGGTTTCGGTCGCTATCATTGAGGCGGGCGATCAAGTGTTCAACGACACGAACGTCACAAGTGCCTCTGGATACGGCAAAGCCTTTGGCACACAAATTGACTGGGCTTATGAGAGTGAAGCTCAGGTCTATGCTGGCAACAAGACTCAGATCTTGAGAGCTGGCAAAGCGCTGGGAGGTACCAGTACGATCAATGGTAAGCAATGACATATCGAGCTCCAATGCGATAGTTTGCAGAGTAGAGATTCGCAAGAAAACAAGAACTAATATGGTCAAACACACANNGGTATGACTTACATGCGCGCCGAGAGCAGTCAGATCGACAGCTGGAAAAAGGTTGGCAACAACATCTCTTGGGACTCGCTCTTGCCGTACTACAAGAAGAGTGAGTACTTTGAGTTCCCCACCGAGGCTCAGCTCTCGATGGGAGCATCCTACCTGCCTGAGTTCCACGGCACCGAAGGTCCTCTTTCTGTCAGTTGGCCCACTGAGATGGTCGGCAACAACTTCTCGGCCACTCTGAACGCTACGTTCAAGGCCATGGAGCTGCCTTGGAATGGAGAAGCAAACAGCGGATCTATGCGTGGATACAACGTCTTCCCCAAGACCTTTGACAGATCGCTGGATGTCCGTGAGGATGCAGCTCGTGCTTACTACTACCCCTTCGCCAACAGACCCAATCTCGACGTCTATCTCAACTCTTTTGCTCAACGTCTGACATGGTCCAACGACAACTCCTCGGTCCCATTCGCCAATGGTGTCATCTTCACCGACAAGTCAGGCGCGGAACAAAGTCTGCTGGCCACCAAGGAAGTCATTTTGTCTGCCGGATCTTTGAGATCGCCTCTTCTGCTTGAGCTTTCTGGTGTCGGCAACCCTAAGTGAGCCAATATCGTATGCCAGCGCAAACAACATATGCTAACGAAGTGCAATAGCGTACTTGAAAAACTCGGCATCGAAGTCAAGGTCAACTCTCCTTTTGTCGGCGAGAACCTCCAGGACCAGACCACTGTCGACACGGATTACGTCTCAAATGCCAACTTCACTGGCGCTGGTGGCTTCATCGGATACTTCAATGCCACTGACGTCTGGGGAAACAACACTGCCGCATTCAGCAAGACCGTGAAGGCATCTCTCGAGCAATACGCGAACAAGACTGTGCAGGCCACTGGCGGTATCACTGATCGCGAGACTCTGCTGAAGTTGTTCAAGATCCAGCATGAGCTCATCTTCGAGGACGAGGTCGTTATTTCCGAGGTCATTGTCAACGCACCTTCATCTGATAGCGGTCTTATCGAATACTGGGGTCTTATGCCGTTCTCTCGCGGGTCCATGCACATCAGAAGCGCCAACGCCTCTGCCCCGGCCGCCATCAATCCCAACTACTTCATGCTCGACTATGATATCAAGCAGCAGATCGGCACCGCAAGAACTGCAAGAAATGTTGCCATGACTGCTCCTTTGAGCGACATTCTCACTTCCGAGACCACTCCTGGCTTCGATGTAGTCCCTCTCAACGCTACTGATGCTGTTTGGGGTGACTGGCTTAAGTCGGTGTACCGCTCCAACTACCACTACATCTCCACTGCTGCCATGATGGCCAAGGAGCTGGGTGGCGTAGTTGATGACAACCATCTCGTTTACGGTACTGCCAATGTCCGCGTGGTTGATGCCTCGGTACTTCCCTTCCAGGTCTCTGGTCATTTGACCTCGACCCTGTATGCTCTTGCTGAGAGAGCTGCTGATATAATCAAGGCCAGTCACCAATGAGTCTGGCGATTGGGTCCGATGGTATAAATTTGGTTGTTGCCCCTTGGTATCGCCAAAGAGCAAGGAATAATAGCTCAATTTTCTTTTCGCTTAGAAGGTCTTTTCAATGTTTTTTTCTTATCGCATAGCGGGATATACAGTCGATAGTCGTAGAATGGAAATATACACTCTTCAAAATTGTTGGTCCTACTCTTGCCGTGCATGGGATGAATCTGCTTCATGAACGAAAGAACACTCTTGTTGGTTGTCAACCTCTCGTGGTCGAGTGGCCTGACTGATCTGTGATAGTAAGTGTCAGATGTGGACTATTGTAGAAGGACTGGTGAAGCCTTCGCAATCGTGACTCTGGTGTCAGTCTGACTGCACAGAGAGGAAACGAAAGCAGCAAAAACATGAAGCGTGCTGCCCAGCGACTCCTGCATCAACCAATACCAGCACAGCTGGCCCATCTTCATTGGTCTAGTGGTCATGATTTCCGCTTGTCAAGAGTAACATCTCGTCAAGCGCGGGAGACCAGGGTTCGATTCCCTGATGGAGAGCACAATCTTTTGTCCTTTTTGCCAGATGATAGACCTAAAGAGTCGCCGGGCATTGGAGAGTGTAGATGGGTTGTTTGGTGGGTTTGCTGGGATCGAAGGTAGCGGATCGCCACGGTGCTATTGCCAGAGGCGTTGTCGGTTTTGAGACATGGACTGCAGAGCCTCTCAAGCCGGTAGGTTTTGATGGGTGCTTGGAAGCATCTGTTCTATAGATGATCCGGTTATGAAGTCTGTCCGTGAGTAGAGAGTCAAAGCGACACGTTCTGTGTTGTACTTGTAAGAGAGACGGAGCAATGGGATGCGCAGATGACAGGTGCAAGTTGCATGTGCAGGCAGATGCGCGGTGACGTGGTGTGGGGAAGGAGAGAGGACGACAAGCACTTGGCAAAGTCGAAACGAGATTATTGTTGAAGGTTCGTCTCTTGGAGGCTCGACAACCATCGACCTAATTCAAGCAAACAATGGCTGCCCCAGTGAAGAAGCGAGGCCCGACCGTGCTGGTTTGTTGGCACCATCTTGTTTGACCGCCAACACCGACTAACCACGATTGTCCAGNNGTCACGGATGCGCGCGAACAGCAGCCTCAGCGGCCCAGCACTCTGCCTCGCACTGGTACTACCAAGCTCATATCTGTCGACAATGTCTTGCAATTCTCCTCGGACATCCCCTCAGCCCAAAGACGTGGTCCTCCAGGCGGTCTCAGGCCTGCACAACATACGCGCACTCCCAGCGGCCGACACCCTCTGGACCCGAAACTAGCAGGCCGCTCCCTCGCCATTCCCGTTGGCGGCCCTCACATTCCCGCCCGAAGCTCTAAAGTCAGTGAAAAGCTCGTTTTGCTGCCCGAAACAAGTGAAAAGACTCCTTCAGAGGAAGACGAAGACGACGAAGACGATGCTCCACCATCAGACGAACAAATCCGCCGCCGAAAGTCTCCCAGAGTTGGAGACAGGAGTTATGCCGAGCGACTTTCAAAAGCAAGTCGTGCAGACAAGTTGGCCAGAGTGACGGCTTATTGCACTGCTCAGAGCTACCGGCTACGTGCCACGGCCGACTTCGTACGAGAGCAACACGGCGCTCGCACAAAACTCTATGACGATTGTCTATATGCTGTATACCAGCTCCCTCTTCTTGGCGGTAGTGATGGCTATCGCATACGCAGTAGTCCTGTCCTGAAGAACCCTGGCGGTAGAAGTATTCTGGACGAGCAGATCGAGGCTAACGAGCGCCGCGACCACCGAGAAGGCTGGATGGAGGAGAGTGATGAGTACACGGTCCATGGTAATGCCAGAGACCACGAAGAACCAAACTTCCGCCGCCATAGCCACTCGAGTGATTTATCGAGTGGAGGACATGGCACCATCGCCGATGCCTTATCTGTCGCCGAACTCTACGTCTTCAGCTATGGTGTCGCCGTCTTCTGGAACTTTACTGCACATCAAGAGAAGGACATCCTGGCCGACTTGACTTTCAGCAGCTCCTCGAATATCCCCACAAAGCTCAGCACTACTTCTACGCCGGCGTTGACGAATACCCTGGGCCTGGTTTCACGGCCGCTCAGCGAGGCCGACTTCGAGACCGAAGACTTTCACTTCGAGTACAATGATGAAATCGACAAGCCGCGCATATTCAACGACATGATTACGTTACGCACCAATGATCACATGATCAAGCTGGCCATGAGCCATGCCATTTCACAATCTACCAAACTCAGCTACTTTGAAGAACGTATGCAGCGCACCATGTCAGAAGCCCAATACGTCCCTCGCAAGTTGGCCCTCGAAGGACAATTAGGTATGAGCCGCAGTCAGGTTGTCAGTCTTGTTGGCAAGCTCTTCCAAGGTCGTGTTGATGTCAACCTCAGCTCAAACATGCTCGACACACCAAACTTCTTCTGGGACAGCGAGCCCACGTTACTGCCACTCTACGCTGCCGTCCGCGAATATCTGGAAATCAAGCCTCGCATTCAAGTCTTGAACGAACGATGCAAGGTCTTCTTGGACCTTGCTGAAATTCTCTCTGATGCCATCGCCGATACGAAGATGACCAAGATCACCTGGATCGTCATTGTGCTGATTGTCATTTCTATTCTGGTCACCTGCTCAGAAGTCATTCTACGATTCGCCATCTTGAGCAAGGGCGAGGGACAAGGTGCTGCAAGCCCAAGTCCGCGAGAGCTTTGATTATCACATCATGACAAGGCGTTGGGATTAGCGAAGAAATGGAGGATGGGTGTCAAGGTTGTACATAATGGGTCTGTTGTATTGTGATAGCGTTTGATGGATCGGCTTGCGTTCTTATGAAGGCTTAATACCACTTTTGTTCTCTTCTGCAGGCCGCTGGCGCCATACGGTATACAATTAATTAGGTAAATCAGCGTCTGCCACTCATCATCCGTGTTAGCAACGGACATGACACTGCAGATTTTGGAATTCATCGAAACATTCTCGAACACTGCAGCCCCTTCCTCAAAGCCCTGCTCAACGGAGATGCCGAGTCTTTCAGACCCAAAATCGAGCAGGAGAATGAGGAGGTGTCTGTGCAAGAAGAGATGCCTATGATTGAGCTTGAGGCAGACATAGCAGCCTTCGAGCTCTACACGGAGTGGGTGTACTCGGGTCACTTCTGGAAAGAAGCCATAAACCCCACCACCGAACACACGGGTTTCTCTCCTATCGGCCATGCCANNTACATTTTGAGAGAGAAGCTACGCGATCACAAGTTCATGAATGCAGTCGTCAACCTTGTTTTCGACGCAATCCAAACCAGTGCCAGTATAGACCTCACCCTACCTGCTCTCATCTTCGACAAGACTTCCCACTCTGCACCTATGCGAAAGCTACTAGTCGATCTCTACGTCTGGTGCGGACACAAAGACTGGATACGTACAACTGAGTCCAGATCTGTTACCTTCATGATGGATCTCTCAACCGCTTTTTTCAATCGCCATGGTCGAACTGAACCTGAGAGAGATCAAATACCACTCATGAACCTATGCAGCTATCATGAGCACCCGGATGGTCAGCTCTGTTTGCCGACCAGAATGCCTGACCATCCCAGAGAGATTGCTAAGCTGTTACCAAAGCCTTGAGGCTCGCTTTAGCGGACTGGAAGATGGGAGTAAACTTACTGCGATGCTGCTAGCAGTACCAGAGGAGGTCGTTGTTTACCCGTATCGGGATAAGATTTCGCTGTTCGCCACCAATCAATAGTCAATACTACCTACCGCCTGCTTCTACGTTGCAATACAAGCTTCTGTGCCTCTCCTTGTACCAAGTGCTATCAAGGTATAGTTATAGAAATGCACAATGCTTTCTAGGAAAGAGTGCTGTCCACAAAGGGACGTCATGTTGCAGACTCTCGACGGACATCTCTTTCAACCTGGAAGCGACTGTGCATTTCCATAGCACGATCCACGGCCACACTTTTGGCTTGGAGAGCAGCTGTGCCTCTAGGTAACTTACAGTGTGCAGATCACAGTGAGAGGGGTACACGGCCCTCAGTATACGAGGAGCCAGCGAAGAGAATACTGGCAATGACAGGCACTAGTGATGATGAAAAGTCCAAAGTGTTGATGGGAAATAGAATTGAAAATGAATGAAATTTTTGTTTGTCAAATGAAAAGTATCACACATCTAGTCCTCCTCGCCATGATCTGTGCTAGCAAAACTGGCACCAGACAGACTAGGCGTCTCCTCTTTGGGTGTCTGTGGAATTTTATCCTTCTTCTTGCCCACACCAAATACACTACTCCAAGACCTTACGCTGCCCTTTCCTTTCTCGCTTTCCATACTCTTGCTCATGCTTTCCTCGTCTTCAACGTCCAGGAGCTGTGTCGACTCACGTTTGCCCTTCTCGGTGGTGGAGCGAGAGAAGGTTGGGAATTGGAACTTGCCGCTGCTGTGCTTGCGGGTGAGTTTCGACATGAGCGAGGAACCTTTGTTAGAGGTGACCGAGGTTGAGGGTGCAGAGTCGGAGGCTGTGTAGCTGATGCTGCGGTCTAGGCTATCGCGGGAGTCGGAGAGGACGGACGAGGCTGTGTTGATTGAATGAGCGTCTCTCGACTGGCGGCCAATCTCTGGTGAGGACTCTGGGTCAAGATTTAAAGGAAGAGGCTGATGAGGCGCCTTGGAAGGAGAAGTGAGTGGTGTTGCACCGATCAGGTTGATCTTGTCATCTTCCTCGTCTTCAGCATCCGAAGAAGTCGAGCTAGGACGTGAAAACAGCGAGCGGAAGTCCTTGGCTGCTGGGTTGAGCTTGGGGTCGGGTATATTGCGCTTGAGCATGTGAGCCGGCTTCGTGCCAATCGGGGCCAAACTGGCTGTCGATTGCGGTGGGCTGAAGGCGTAAGAGCTGTTGTTGTCGATACCGTCATCAAGCATATCATATGGCAGGCTACCACCAGATTGCCCGTGCTGGATTGAAGGACGCCTGGATGGTTGTCTGGAACCCCACATGTTGTGTGTCACTGCCGGCGCAGCCATCCAATCGGAGCTGAGTGGGCTACTCCTTTGGTTGAATGGTTCGTTCGATGACCAGAGACCCCATGAGGAACTGTCCTGAGAAGGTCGAGGCAGCTCGTTGGAGTGAACAGAGATAGGACGAGGAGACGATCTGCCGTCATCTTTGCCCAAGTTGCTTAGAACATTACTTCTCTCGTTCAAAGCAGTCGCTCTGTCTTGACCCAGGATTGCGGCCCATCCATCGGTCTTGGAGCCGAACATATTGAAAGGTCTCCTACGCACAGCGATGTGTTTCTGACTAGGCATGCTTTCAGCTCCCATACTCTTAGTATGGCCAGTTGTTCTTCCCAGGTTGATGCCAAAGAAGTTGCCCGAGTGACTGCTGTTCCTACGGCGTCCCGATCCGGTAGCCTCATCTCCCTCATCATTGCGTGGTAACGATTGGCTTTGTGACTTGCTCAAGGAGCCCAAAGCTGGACCTTGCTCAGACAGCGTCTTACCGCGCTGACGGTTGAGCTTGTCGAGCCCGAGGATCTGACCGAAACGACTACCACTAGTGTGAGGTGCACTACCGCTTGCTGCACGACCAGATGTGCTAGACCTGATGGAGCGGCGGTCACTGTCGACAGCAACGTCGGGTGAATTGAACATTAGATTGCTTGCACTAGCGCGCGGGCTGGCAAACAGACTAGGCGATCTGCTGCTGGCAGAGTTTGGGCTTGTCGGACCTTGATGTTGATCAAAAGGCCTCGAGGCGCCAAGACCAGGTAGAGCACCTAAGCCTGGAAGAACACCAAGACCAGGCAACATGTGGTTTGAAGCTTGTCTGCCCTCAGAACCTGTATCGTCGTCATCCTTTGCATGAATGTGGGCGGCTGGACCAAGGAAACGATCGGGCGGGTCTTCGTCAGCATTACTGAGTAAGCCTGCAGGCAAAAGTTCAGCACCTGCACTCGGACTCATGGGAGCACCTCCAGTCAGCTTTTCGATTTCTGCAGGAGAAAAGTCGCTCATGGGACGGTCAAGGGTCATGCCGTTGTTGATGTTAAAGAAGGAGGATGCTGAGGTGGTGAAGCTTGGGGAAATGGTTGTTGGACCAGAAGTTGCCAGGGCACTGCTGAAGGCAGGAGCAGTGGAAGAAGCGAATGGAGAAGCGGTTGAGTTGTTTGCAGAAGGGCCGCTCGGGGGACGTCTTTGGCGCAGACTGCTGGCACGCGAGATGGGAGCGTCGAAGGTTGGTGGAACAGCCGAAGCCATCTGGGACAGCTCGGACTGGCGTTGCTTGACCATGGCCAGTTGGCTGTAGGCAGTGTCGAAAAAGCGGCGCGCGGCGTCCATGTTTTGGTGAGCGATCACATACTGTTCCTCCAATCGTCTGAGTTTGTCAGTCCATGCGCGGTCTTCCTCGGCCTCCATGGCAGCAAGAGCGTCATTGTGGTCGTTGGGTTCGGATCCACTGGGCGAGTTTGTCGTGTCCCTCTCGAGTTTCTTGATCTGGCCACCGACTTCCTTGTTTTCGTCTTCCATACTCTTGAGCGTCTGTATTTCTTGAGCCTGTTTGTCCATCAATTCGATCTTTTCACGTTCCGTGTCTTCAAGCAGTGCCTTTTTCTGATCCGCAATGCTGCCCATGTCGTCCTGCATCTGCGCCATCTCTTTCTGCCACCTCGCAGCATCGTCCTTGAGCTTCTGTCTTTCACTTTGTTTCTGCTGGAGAGCTCTTTCCTGGGCGTTCTTCTTGTTCTGTGCAGCTTGATTGTTTCGTTCCAGAGAATTGAGCCTGCTTGCGCAGGTCCCTGCTAGTNNGTCATCCTTCTCTTTCAACTCGCCTCTCAATTCATCACGCTCCTTGACCAGACTGGCCTTCGCGGCTATGGCTTCTTGCTCCTCGTCCTGGATTTGCTTCTCAACCTCTGCCGTTTCGCGACCAATTTCATCCAGCTTCTCAGTCAAGGCTTGTTGATTGTCTCCCGGACCGTCCTGGTCATTGATTTCATCAAAAGAGGAAAGCTGAGTGTCAAGACCAGGCAGGGGTGATGGACGTCTGCTGAAAAGGCTTTTCTTGGCCTGAAGAGGACCGTTGCTTGTCTCACGAACAAGAGGAGGCGGTGTGGCGGGGACAGTCGAGACATCTGGTGGAAAGACGTGCAGCGGACGTATGACAGGGCCGGAAGACGATGGCAGGGAGCTGTTGGGGGTGTCGAAAAAGTCTTGGGATTCCGGCGACTTTGTACAGAGACGGATCGGGCTGCTGGCGGCGCGAAAGTCGACGGCGTTGACGGTGATGACGCGCACGATGTACAGTTGGCTTGGGCGCAGATTGGAGATGACGATAGACGTGTTGGAGTGTGAGACGTGACCGATTATAGAGCCGTTGAGTTGGATCTCATAGCGGTGCATGGATTTGCGCTCGTCGGCAGGCTTCCAGTGCAGAACGAAGCCATCGGCTTTGATACCGGCGAGGTCGACATGAGGGTCTTGGGGGATCTCGCAACCGAGAAGGCCGACGAGTTCGTCTAGGGGCTTATGAATAACAAGATAGGCACGGTATGTGAGNCCTGCGGCAGTCAGCACGTGCTTGTAGACAGACGACGATGACTTGGTCCCGGTTCAGGGACAAGGGCGTCAGGGAGCGAGAGAGAGATCTAACCAGACAAGAGCGGCACCGACACACAGCGTGTTGAAGGTGGAGCTGAAGAGCAGGTATGCGTTGTCCAGCAACATGAGCAGGCGCATGGCTGGGAAGGACGAGGAAGGAGCAGCGGGAACCTGGTGACTTGCAAAAGCCGTGTCGCTGTCGCGCGCCCAGAAAGCCTGATCGACCTGCAGAGAAAGTCCAAGTTCAAGTCCACTCGGTCGCGTCAAGACCAGCCCGCCCGCTTCCATGTATATGATAGCGATGGACGGCTAGAGCGTTATGTATACTGTATATATTTGATGCTCGAGGGAAACGGGTACATGGCCTATAGGAAAGTGGACTCTTTCCGAATTGCCATGCATGTGCTTGGCGGAGAGATGATCGATTTGACAGCCAGCGGCCCGCGCCTCCTTCCTCGTGTACAAAAGAGAGCTTGTCACATGCCAGATGGGCACTCAAGGAATCCCTATCACATGCAGCGTCTGCACAATATCGGGCACGGATGTAGCATACAGTCAGTCGTACGAGTACTTACGAGAGGCAGTCGTACGAGTTAGGTACGAACAGAGTCCAAGTGCTTTCTGACTCCGCGTTTCCCGCATCAGCTGCTCTGCCTGCTCTCGGACCCGAGTTGCTGCTTTGTTCTTTATACTTCATTTCTTACTCAAACGTCCTTGACTTCCTGCTCCACATGCCCCTAGTTCGTGTTTGACCGCCCGTCCCTCTGTCGGCGCCATGCAATACGTGCGCTCCTTGTCCGGCTCCGTGTCCAAGACGTGGAACTCGATCAACCCAGCCACCCTCAGCGGCGCGATCGACGTCATTGTCGTCGAGCAGGAAGACGGCTCTCTGGCCTGCTCGCCCTTCCACGTCCGCTTCGGCAAGTTCTCCCTGCTACGGCCCTATGAGAAGAAGGTCGAGTTCAAGGTCAACCATGAGCGTCGCGACTTCCCCATGAAGCTGGGAGAGNGGGGTGAGGCCTTCTTTGTCTTCGAGACTTCGTCCAGCGTGCCCGAAGCTCTCCAGACATCTCCCCTCGTCTCACCCGCCCAGAGCCCCGACTTCACATCCACCGACTCAACCGCTCTGGCCGAACCCGACTCCTTCGACCTCAACTCCTTGTCTGCCACCCTGCCAGCCACCCCCACATACAACAGGAGGGAGCACGCCAGATCCGTCGCTGCAATCAACTTCAACCCTCTTCATCCTGACGAGAGACGCGCACAGAGTGACAACGGCCAAGCTGTGTCTCAGGACGACCAGTCCGTCGCTACCGAACACCCTAGACCTCTGCCCGCTCACCTCCATCGCTCTGCCACTGACGATGCCGTCCCCGCTGCGAGAGCTACCATCAACGCCTCCATCAAGGCAAGCGACCCCATAACACAACCCCTCCACTCCGAGTCTACGCGTTCGAGGACCGAACGATCCACAAGCCCGCCGCCCATCTCTGGCGAAGAAGCCATTACGAGAGCCATCAATCTCTCCAAAAAGCTATGGAGTTCCAACATTCCTTCCCAAGTCACCGACAAGGGTGACATCATGCTGGACATGACGGGTTACAAGAGCAGTGAAGATGAAGGCTTGCGCGCAGAGGTTTTGGCTAGAAAGATTCTGTCCGAAGAACTTGAAGGCAATTATGACATTGGTTCGTTGATTGGAGCAGACGAAAAGGGCAACCTTTGGATCTATAGTAGCGAGGAAGCAAAAGAGCAGGCCAACAGGAAAGTTGCCCAGGGCTTGAACCTCTTGAACCCTGCAGGCTTCACCTCCGCCGACGCTCTGTCAGATCCAGGCTACCACTCGGACGATTCTCGCAGCGAAACTAGCGCCACGTTCAATGCTTCGCACATGCGACGAGACTCTGACAGCGCTGTAGGCCTGTCATCTGGTCCTGCATCCCCACATGCTGTTGGCGATCCGAACCGCAACTATGCAAAGACACTCCGTCTGAGTAGCGACCAGCTCAAGTCTCTGGATCTGAAACCAGGGCCCAACCCCATGAGCTTCAGCGTCAATCGTGCCACCTGCACTGCTGTCATCTACCGCTGGCGTTGGGATGTGCCTATTGTCATCTCAGACATTGACGGCACAATCACCAAGTCAGACGCTTTAGGCCACGTCCTAAACATGATTGGTCGTGACTGGACTCATCTTGGTGTAGCCAAGTTGTTCTCGGATATCTCAGCCAACGGCTATAACATAATGTATCTCACCTCCCGTGGAGTAGGCCAGGCCGATACGACAAGAAACTACCTCGCCAATGTGGTCCAAGATGGAGGATTCAAGCTACCAAGAGGTCCGACAATCATGAGTCCAGATCGAACAATTGCCGCTTTGAGGCGAGAAGTCTACCTCCGAAAGCCAGAAGTGTTCAAGATGGCTTGCCTTCGCGACATAATGGCACTATTTACTGGATCGGGAGGCAGCAATAACGCGGATAAAGCAGGACCTACAACCTCGGCCGAAAGCAGCAACGGACTTGTCGGAAAGTCAAGTGGAAAGGGCGGCTCGCCATTCTACGCAGGCTTTGGAAACCGTCTAACAGATGCGCTATCGTATCGCTCTGTCAACATCCCCAGCACAAGGATCTTCACCATCAACTCGAACGCAGAAGTCTCGTTAGATCTGCTATCACTCAACACATACAAGACGGGTTATGTAAGCATGCGCGAGATTGTTGATCACTATTTCCCACCCGTGGGACTGCTTGTCAAAGGTGGTGGCGAGGAGTTTACAGACTTCAACTACTGGCGCGAGAAGCCGCTCGAACTTGCCGATTTTTCTGCTTCCGAGAGCGACGACGATTCCAGTGACGAAGGATCAATACGCGGAGGTCTGCGAGGAAACAACAGATCTCGTGCCAATACGCGGCGATTCAGCGACGAAGACAACGATATGAACGAGAGCTATCTCTCGGAAGCTCGACACAGTATCGAAGACGAGGATAATGCTATGTATCACTCTGTCCTCGAGTCTGTGGAAGGCGGAGACAGGGATGAAGAAGAAGATGAGGGCGAGGAGATCTATGAGGACGACGAAGAAAGCGACCAGGATGAAGAAGGATTTGATGAAAAACATCTTCCCAATCGGTTAGCATCTGCATCTAGAGCCTCGACGGCGTAAATTGCACAGCAGGTTTTGGCAACTACTCTCTTCTTGTTTGTCTATGTAGACGGGCTAGATTCTATCCGTTGTACAACAGTATCATCTTCATAATATCATGGTCAACCATCTCCTGCACCCTGTACATCCAAAGGCTTGGGACTAATCAAAAGCTAGTGCACTCAAAGGCGAAGATGATCCACTCGTAATGCCCCTTTGTGCTTTAGTGTCATCCCATGCATACTTTCTAGACGGTGTTGCAAGCGTCTTGAGGAGAAAGGTTAGGGTGACCACTAATGTTGCACTGGTGACCCTGTTCCATGACTAGCGACGCGAACATCGGCCCCAGTGTGCGTCTGATTTGGCCCCAAATCAGGACCAGTATACTGAAGGGCCTCCCCAATGGTACAAAGATGGTTGTATGTGGACTGAGTATCTTATGTGACTGACATACAACGATTGCCGACAAACTTCTGGCCAGCAGTTTTCTCTTCTGTCAACCAGTCCAAGACTTGCTGAGCACTCTGGTCGGGTGGGAACACAGGATACCAGACTTTGACAATCTTGCCTTCAACCATAGCCAGAGTGATTCTCTTGGTAAGTCTCTTTCCTTCCCAGTCAATAGTCGGCAAACTCAGAGCCTCCACAAACTCCAGCTTCTCATCACTGAGCAATTCGAATGGCAAATTCAATCTCGTCTTTACTTCTTGTTGGTAGGCTGTAGATTGCGTGCTCAGACCGAAAATCTTGTTTACGCCTGCTGTCATGAATTCTCTCTGGGTGTCTCTGAATGAGCAGGCTTGGGGTGTGCAGCCACGAGCTCCGGGGATGGAGTTCCAAGCGTCTGGGATCGTTTCGCCAGGAGCGCCAGTGCGAGGGTAACAGAAGATGACGACTAGGCCTTGGAGAGAGGAGATCTTGATGGAAGTGTCGTCGGTGGCTGGGAGGGAGAGGGGTGGTATGGTCATGCCTGGGAGATGATCGCAGGCTCCATCATCTGTAGGGATGGGAATGTCGGAGGGAAAAGTTGTGTCTTAGATGGAATCAGTCACCTGATAGTATGTATGTATACTACGGACCAAACTCACGAGACATGATAGCTAGAATGCAGTTTCTGTATCCCCGTCGACTGTACAGGCATCAATGTATGGGGTTGATGTTGTGTTTCTCGACCTTGATGTACTGAGCCGAGGTTTGGGATCACCATCTGGCCATAGCTTCCAGTTTGTCGGCGGGTCGAGCCCTGTTTAGCGGGGCAACAGCGTGATGACGAGCAGATCGCAACGAAGCATGCAGGATCGAGCAAAAATGATGATGAAATGCAACAAATCACCAATCAACACGGCTAGGATGACCGCTTCCGCTCGATTAACTGGGTGCTGCCCTCTCGGTATCTGCACTCTTTCGTGTTTCCTCTCTGTTTCTCTCTCTTCTCTCTCCATACCCAGCCTATGCTTTCTTTACGACCTCTTTTGACGACCGCATCTGCTCAGTTTCGTCAAATCTCACGACCATCGTCTCTAAGGATTCCAATTGCAACAAGCACAGCTTCATTCTCCACCACACTACGCGCCATGGCTACCGAATACAAGCTCAAGGGGCTTACGAGCATCGACCTGAAGAATGGTCAGAAGCAGGAGGTCGAGGTGGACGGCATCGAGGGCGGCAAGATTCTGCTGGCCAAGGTCAAGGACCAAGTCCATGCCATGAGTGCCAACTGCACCCACTACGGTGCACCCATGGTCAAGGGTGTTCTCACTGGCGAGGGCAGAATCACTTGCCCGTGGCACGGAGGTAAGCCCGACAACTTACTCCTGTTCGTTTGTCACACCGCAACTAACACAATTTCGCAGNCCTGCTTCAAGGTTTCCACTGGTGACGTTGAGGATGCTCCTGCACTTGACCCCTTGGCCAAGTTCGAAGTCTACGAGCGTGACGGTGCCGTCTACATCAAGGGCGAGGAGAAGACCATCAAGGCCAACAGACGCCAGCTCAACATCAAGTGCCGCAGCGTAAAAGACAAGGACCACGTGGTCGTCATCGGAAGCGGAAGTGGCGCCCTCGGTGCCATCGAAGGCCTCCGTGGCGGCGGTTACCAGGGCAAGATCACCGTCGTCTCGCGCGAGAACGCTCAACCTCTCGACCGCACCAAGCTCTCCAAGGCTCTCATCACAGACCAGTCCAAGATTGAATGGCGCTCAATGGAGTTCTACAAGGAGGCCTCGATCGAGTTCACCTGGGGCAATGTCACCAAGGTCGACTTCAACAACCGTTCCGTCGAGACTGATGACGGCAAGAAGGTCAACTACACCAAGCTCATCATGGCTTCCGGTGGCACTCCCAAGTGGCTTCCTATGGATGGTTTGAAGGGTGACCTTGAGAACGTCTTTGTTCTTCGCGCCCTTCCCCACGCTCAGGGCATCATGAAGGCCGCTGGTGAGAATGGTGGCAAGAAGGTTGTTGTCGTTGGCAGCTCCTTCATCGGAATGGAAGTCGGCAACTGCCTGGCTGGCATGAAGCACGATGTTACCATTGTCGGTATGGAGGAGGAACCTATGATGACTGTCATGGGCAAGCAACTCGGCAAGACCTTCAGAGGTCTGCTCGAGAAGAACGGCGTCAAGTTCAAGCTCAGCGCAGAGGTTGAGGGCGCCAAGCCTTCCGAGTCCAACTCCAAGATGGTCGGTTCAGTACAACTCAAGGACGGAACCAACCTACCCGCAGACCTGGTCATCGAGGGTGTCGGTGTCAGACCCTCAACCGACTACCTCCAGGACGTCAAGGAAATCAAGCTCAACGACGATGGCTCAGTCAACGTGAACGAGTCGTTCCAGGTCGAAGGTCTGAAGGACGTCTTCGCTATTGGTGACATTGCCACGTACCCCTACCACGGACCTGGAGGCAACGGCAAGCCTGTTCGCATTGAGCACTGGGATGTCGCTCAGAACGCTGGCCGCTCGGTCGCCGGCACAATCAACGACCCCTCAGCAGCGCCCAAGTCTTTCATCCCCGTCTTCTGGTCTGCTCTCGGTGCTCAACTCAGATACTGCGGCAACACACCCAATGGCTACGACGACGTCATCATCCAAGGCGAGACCGACGCACAGAAGGGCCCCAGCTTTGTTGCGTACTTCCACAAGGGAGAAGAGATCGTCGCCGTCGCTAGCATGATGAAGGATCCTTACATGACACAGAGCGCTGAGTTGATGAGACGCAAGAAGATGCCCAGCAAGAGCGAGATCCAGAAGGGCGTCGACATTCTTGAAATCTCAATCCCCTCAGAGATCAAGATTTGAACGAAGCCTTTTGAAAGACATGACACGACCGTATCGCGTGCAGAACGCGACATGTAACGCCAAGACGAAATAAATAGTCACTTTCTTACCAAATGTTAATGATGAAACGCGAAGAATTCTCTTCTACTGTTTGACACTGCTACAGTGACTCGACTTGTAGGGGCTCGTTGTTGAGGATCGAGAAGGATTCGAGCAGGATTCAATAGTCGGCACGCTTGGAAGAGATGCAAGATGAGGAAGATTCCCACAACGGTATCGGAAAGTGCTGACCGTTGTGGAATACTGGGCTGCCTCGGATGCTGTCGCAAACGGAAGGGCCCGAAGCAGAGTTGTACCTGAAGCTAAAGCAAGTTTGGACACGATGATTGGGTGGCTGGAGCAAGGGCCGTGTGCACATAAGGCCGCATGCACGATGCCGCCCGCCCCCACATCATCATCTCACCTTCGTTCAAGCCCTCTGCCACCAGGACATCAAAACAATGAAGACGCGCTCCGTCGGGAGCCTTCGACTTTTCACACATCATTGACAACGCCAGCGCATGCACGACGGATTGCGCCAAATCTCATGACTGGATATTACCGGAGTATTAGACTTGGACTCTCTTTGATTGCACATGATGGATGACAACGGTCATCAGCGGTTGGAGGATACATCTTGCGAAGCCGACGATTCGACCGACTCTCTCCCTTGCATTCCAACCATGTGCTGCTGTGGGAACGACGACTGCGTATTCCAGCAAGAGAACAGTGAGGCCTTTGCTTCATTGGACGAGAATCTGCGCAAAGCCGGAAGGCTGGGCAAGGTCAGTGTTTTGTGCGTCGCGCCCCAGTAAGGCAGTTCGCAATCTCCAGTTTGCTGTTTTCTGGTGTTTGCTTTCGAGTCTTCTGATCCGATGGTGCCCACCCTACCCTACCCTATCTTCCTTCGGCCTTGTTGCAGCCAAAACCCGTTTCCCCACTCAATCTCTTTTGCTATGGCAGTTCAAGCCATTCTACACCGTCGAATAATCCAAAATACACACACATGCCCTGAGATATAACCAAGCCTGTCTCGGCTCCTCCCCACCCTGCATGCCTGTTGTCTTGTTGTGTTTTGACATATCCATCATCACCATTGTCCAACGTCAACACGGCCACCATGTCGCTGACCTGGTCGTTACAGGNCTCTCCTCGTCCGCCATGAAGCCTATGTGGCCGAGGCCGAAGAGCAAAAGGCTCAGATGGATGCTGAGATCGTCCGAATGATCGAGGAAAAGAAGGAACTCGAAGTCAACAATTCCACACTAATTGAAGAGAACCGCAACCTGCTCGACCAACTCGAAGGTCTCAACAATGCTGCCGTCGAGTCGGATGCCCACACCCAGTCACTCACTGCAACACTGCATCAAACTCAAGCCGAACTACACCGACTAAACACACTTGCTGCTCGCACCGAGAGACTCGAACGAGAGGTTGAGGAGTACGAACAAGAACAGGCCATCCTTCACGCATCCCTCGCACACAAGACAGAGTCAGAAAAGACAGCAACCCTGCGATGGCAGGATGCAGAGAGGAAGCTGGCTGCCATGGAGAACCAGCTGGAAAGGATAGAGCGTGAGGCTAGAGACGACAAGGAAAGACATGTCGAGATTGTTGGACGCATGGAAAGGCAACGGGTGGTCGAGAAGGAACTGGAAACTGCTCCTGGTCGACTGAGAGGTGCTGCAGCTGCAAAGACATCAAAGC